AATCTCCATCTTGGCCATCTGTTTCCAGTAGGGTGGACCTTAAGCCAACATAGTACCTAGCCTCAGAGGTCAGCAAATACCATGTAGCTCATTAACTAATGGATGGAATCTTTTTTTAAAAAAATAATTCATGTGCCGGGTGTTGGTGGCACATGCCTTTAATCCCAGCACATGGGAGGCAGAGGCAGGTGGATCTCTGTGAGTTGAGACCAGCCTGCTCTGCAAGAGCTGGTTCCAGGACAGCCTCCAAAGCCACAGAGAATCCTTGTCTCGGAAAACAAAACAAAAAACAAACATTATGTGCCGGGTGTTGGTGGCATATGCCTTTAATCCCAGCACTTGAGAGGCAGAGGCAGAGGCAGAAGGCCAGCCTGGTCTACAGAGACATAGTTCCAGCACAACCAGGGCTATACAGAGAAACTGTGTCTTGAAAAACACAACAACAACAACAACAACAACAAAAAAAGGCCCTGGGGAGGGGGGAGAAGAAACCAGTGCTAGGGATTGAGCTCAGAACTGGAAGTAAAGGTCGCCTACCTGAGTGACTGACACAGTGGGCTCCAAATCAGTCTCTTTGGTGGAACTTGGGCCAGGACTTGACTGGACCGCTGGAGCCTCCTCCTTGTTCTCTGGGTGTATTTGGGTGTTTCTGTTTTCCATTGTTCTGGAGCCAGCAAGATTCCCAAGCCAGGGGCATCAGCTGTACCAAGCAGATATCCAGTCAAGCTCCTACCAGGCCCGAGACCCCACTGTGCTGTACCTGGAGCCTGGGATGGCCAGCCTGGCAAGGAGCCTGCACTGAACCAGGAACCAGTCTTATGTAGCAAGAGCTCCCCCGACTCTTTCGTTTTCACAACGAGCCTGAGGAAGAGGCCCAGGAAACATGTCCAAAGGTCTATAGTGGGCTCGGACCTATGCCTGGCCCAAACCATCAGATCTTTGCCTCTTCCCCACAGGACAATCCTGCTCCATCCTCAAGTCTGCTAGGTATCTAGAGGAAATGGGATGCTGGCCTCATCAAAACAAACATACAGTGTCTTGCAGGACATCGCAGAGCCTTGAAAACACGTGTGAACATTTGAAAGAGCCCGTGAGGGGCTGGGGTGTAGCTAAATTGGTAGTGTGTTTGCCTAGCCTACACAAGCACCACACAAAACCAGGTGTGGTGGCCCATGCCTGAGTCCAGCACATGGAGGCGGGGGAATCAAGAGGTCTAGGTCATCCTTGGCTGCTTCATGATTTTGAGGCCAGCCTGGGCTACGATGAGATGAGAGAGACAGAGACACAAAGAGAGCGCCCATGACGTTATTTCTGTTTTAATGAAAACCCCATTTTTTTGGAGGGGGAGGTTCAAGACAGGGTTTCTCTGTAGCTTTGGAGCCTGTCCTTGAACTAGCTCTGTAGATCAGGCTGACCTTGAACTCACAGAGACCTGCCTCCCAAGTGCTGGGATCAAAGGCGTGCACCACCACCGCCTGACAGATTTATTCATTTTTATTTATATATGTGTGTGCCTGTATGAGCTTATGTTCACCGTGTGCATGCAGGCTCCCAGAGAGGGCAAAGGGGGTCAGAGCTCCCTGGAACTGGAATTACAGGTGATTTTGGCACCATGTGGATGCTGGGAACTGTCCCCAGCTTCTCTGCCAGAAGACACAGTGCTCTAACCACTGAGCCATCTCTCCGACTCCCCCATAACTCCCGTTTTAACAAACAAAACAAAACAGGGGTTTTGGTAACTGAACTCAAGTCCTCATGCTTACAAAGCAAGCTATTTACTGACCGAGCTTTGTCCCCAGCCCAAGCTCCTTTAGGGCAGCAACAACAACACTGTATCTATGGCAACATCTCGGCTGCTTCTCACATTCACTAGTTCTCAGGTCAATGCTCCCATCCTCAAACCCTCCAGGGAGAGCCTGTGACCTGGAGGATCTCAGAGACCTTCCCCTTCTAAGCCACAGCAGGCCAGCTACTGTTCATGAAATGAGTTCCTGGCTGCTGGAAGTTCTTAAGTTGTAGTCTCTTCGCAGCCCTGTGAGGTATGGGCTCAGCCTTTCCTATTGTAGAGAAAACAAGACAGGAGCTCAGACAGTAGCTCAGAGTCGCACAACGTCTTGCCCAACACCACATGACTCATCTCCGAGGACCTGGATTAAACCCAGGTCTGTTCAACTCCCCAGATGGCACTCCTCATGGGGTTGGCCAGCCTCTTAAAGCATGTGCCCCTTATTTATCATTTAAGGACAATCACCTGTACCACTTATGTGCCAGACCTTGGGGATACCTTGGGTACCCCCCAGGGATACAGATAATTTCTGCTGGCCCAGACCCCAGATTTCTTCTCTTCCCCCTCCAAACCCCTTTCTAGCTCACCTACTTCCCCACAGTGAGCAGGACCCTGGACCCCAGCTCCTATGTGACCCAGGTGGGATATGCCAGCTCCCGTGTGACCCGGGCTCTCAAATGGTATGGGATGTTGTGGCTGTGGCTAAGTCTCCCTTTCTCCCCCTGTGGTTTGTCACTTCCCCCCACCTCTTTCCCATCAAGGCTCCCCTAAGCATCCCTCCTGCCTGGAGCCGTCCTGCTCCAGAGGGGGCTGACCCGTCTGGGAAAAATCTCCTCAGGTCCCGAGACACAGCTGTCTTTGTCCGCTGTCTCCACCCCAACCCTGGAATCCTGAGGTCTCAGTGTTCTACAAACCACAGTTTTAAGGGAATAGAAGCCCCCAAGGAAGACCAGGTCCATCTCGAGCTAGTTAACTGATTAGACAAGGAGGAGACTCCAGCAGCCGACCTGGGGTGGGGGTGGCTAAGACAGGCTTCACCCTCCCTTCACAATACCTGACCCCATTTTTATTTTTTTTAGCAACTTTCTGTGAGCTGTACTTCACATTCTCCACAGCATGATTTAAAGTCCACCTACTGGGCTGGCAAGATGGCTCAGTGTGCTGTGAGACACACTAACACACACATACACACACACACACAGAGAAAACCCACTTGTCACTTAGTGGCTGTTAGCACAGTCACTGGGTTGAGTTCCCAGTTTTACATCATGACATTTATCTCAGCCCACAAAGGAATCCCAAATGCCTTGGCTATCATCATCAGCCCTTCCTGTTAGACTGTGGCCCTTGGCAATGATCTTTTTGGTGAACTTGCTGTTCTGGGATTTTTACAGAAACATGTTCATACAACTTAGTGTTCTCATGGTTTATCTAGACAAGCATGCAGATGAAGCTTCCTTTTTAAAAAGATTTATTTTTAAGGTGTGTGTGTGTGTTTGTATGTGTCCTTATTTGGGAGCTGGTTGGTGGCCCAAAAGAAAGCCTGATACCAAAAGAGAAAAGAAAAAAAAAAAAAAAGCCTGATACACAGGTATTAAATGTGTGTGCCACCACCGCAGGTTTTTGGCGACTGTCTTAGTCAATGTTCTATTACTGTGGCCAAAGCAACTCTTTTTTCCCCCCCTTTGGTTTTTCAAGACAGGGTTTCTCTGTATTGTTTTGGAGGCTGTCCTGGAACTCGCTCTGTAGACCAGGCTGGCTTGGAACTCACAGAGATCCGCCTGCCTCTGCCTCCCGAGTGCTGGGACTAAAGGTGTGCGCCACCAACACCCGGCAGCCACAGCAACTTTTACAAAAAGAAAGCATTTAACTGGGGCTTGCTTACGGTTTCAGAGGTTTAGTCCGTTTTCATCATGGTGGAGGGCATGGTGGCATGCAGGCAGACGTGGTGCTGGAGAAGTAGTTGAAACTTATGCATTTGGATCTGCAGAATGCCCGGAGAGCCGCTTACCCTGGCTTTGGCTTTTGAAACCCCAAAGCCCACCCCCCAGTTACTCACTTTCTCCAATAAGGCCACACCTCCTGGTCCCTCTCAAGTAGCACCACTCCCTAATGACCAAGCATTCAAGTATCTGAGTCTTTGGGGGCCACCCTTACTCAAACCACCACAGGGATGAAAAACTGGCCGTAAGTCAAGGCATTTCTCAAACCCTTGGTGGAGACATCAGGCAGGTGGGTCACGATAAAGCAGGGAAGTGTCAGTTATTGGCCTCCTTCTCAGCCTTTTCATTGGTGTGCATTCCAGAAGGATTTATCTAATAGTCACATTCAGAGGCGGGTAATAAATGAATACTTAGAGGGTCAAGATAGCCAAACCAATTCAGCTTCCAACTTGTAACTTGTAATAATCTTTTCCTTCCTTTGAGTGTGTGTGTGTGTGTGTGTTTATTTATTTATTTATTGAGACTCGATTTCTCTGTGCAGTTTTGGAGTCAGTCGTGTAGATCAGACTAGCCTCGAACTCACAAAGATCCATCTGCCTCTCGAATAATCCAGTTTTTCACAACCAATTAACCTCATACAATGTCTCACACGGGTGTGGCTTTACCCCATATACGGGATTTGAATGAGAATGTCTCCCCTCAGGCTGATATGTTTGTATACTTAGTCCCCAGCTGAACTGCTTGGAAGGATTAGGAGGTGTGTCCTTGTTGGAGGTGGATAATGGGAAAGGGTTTTGAGCCCCTCCTGTGGTCCACCCCGCCCCCCAGGATAATGACGTAAATCTCTCAGCCGCTTCTCCAGCACCGGGTGTCTCATGCAGCCATGCTCCCCACCGTGATCATAATGGACTAAGCCTCTGAAACTGTAAGCAAGCCCCAACTGAATGCTTCCTTTGAGTTTCCTGGGTCACAGCATCTCTTCACAGCAATAGAACAGTGACTAAAACACCCAAGAACTTTTAGTTCACAACTTTGATTTCAATTCTTGTTGAGCTAAAACAAACAAACAAACAAACAAACAAACAAACAAACAAACAAACAAACACTGGGTCCTTGAGCACATAGTAGGTTATAAAAAGTACAAAGGGTGGTGGAGCGAGATTTCTCCAGAAGCCTCATGTTCTGATCCGAGGCTTCCGGCAGAGGGCACTCGACGAGGAGCAACCAAGGGCCGGGAGCCGCTGCTCTAGATTGAGCTGGTCATAGAGTCGCGTCACTTCCGGTCCCGAGGGGGCGGGGAAGAAGCCGGAAGTCGGATGAGCTCTGGCGGTCGAGATGGAGGAGAGCGAGTACGAGTCGGTTCTCTGTGTCAAGCCGGAGGTCCATGTCTACCGCATCCCGCCGCGGGCCACCAACCGTGGCTACAGGTGACCGTTCCTGGCTTAACCTTTGCACTGCGGGGGTCAAGGATGGGCTGTCGCGTTTATGGAAGGAAGGGACAGAGCCCAGTGGCTGCTTCCTGTCGGGGCCAGACCCAGGATGGTCGTGAGCTGTCAGCGGGCTGCGGGCATGCGGGCTGCGTCACAGCCAGCTCCTGGGGACCCGAGTGGGCTGCCGGGGTCTATGGGTCGTGGGAAAGCGCTAACCGACAGCCTGGAAGGGATCCTTGGAAGCCCTGCCACTCGCGGGAACCCGACTCCATCAGAGGGACCCCTCCCTACCTCCGGCTTTCTTAGCCCCAGTTTCACCCCACCGATCACAACAAGCTGCAGCTGGGAGGACCCCACTGCCCTTGGCTTGAGTAAGCCTCACCTGAGGCAAATAAACAACACTGCCTGTAAACACACGGAGTGTCTCTGAAGGGGACCCAGGACTCGACTCGACTCTAGGAGACCCAAAGTTAGGCAGCCATTGCTATATACCTCCCGTAGTGTTTGCATTTCCTATCCACATAAGATGGGAAATACTTCTTTAGAAAGGTATTGTTGATATAAATGATGTAGCCTGTGCCCTGTGATGGGCGGGGTATTGCTACTTAGGAAGGGTGACTCCCGCCTCCCCTCACTACTCAGACAGGTTTTCTCTGCTTAGCCCTGTCTGTCCCGGGACTCTCGGTAAACGAGGCTGGCCTCGAACTCACAGAGATGGCCTGCCTCTGCCTCCCGAGTGCTGGGATTAAAGGTGTGCATCACCACTGCCCAGTAAGCGTGGCTGCGAAGGCAATGTGTGTCTAAGTTATCTGAAACTAGTCTGTACCACAAGTATGTGGGAGCATCTACTTATCTGTCCTTTGCACTTGGTGTAACACAGGCACATAGCAAATTTTCCGAATGGGTATCTTACTGAACATTTACCGTGTCAGTTAGATGATTTTTTTAATAGCATGAAAATAGCAAGAACTCGGGTCAGCAAGCAACAACTGTGCTTTCCTTGTGTAAGTGTGTTGGCATGATGTGTGCGCGTTGGCATGATGTGTGCGCAGGCGCGCATGCCTGTGCGCTGGCGCAGAAGCCCCAGGAGGACCAGTGAGCGGCTTGCTTTCTCACTGTCTCTGCTGCTCCCTCGAGATGGTCTCTCACTGAACCTGGACTTTGCTATTTCATTTAGAGCAGCTGTTCAGCAACGGTGGCGGGTGTGCAGGTACCTGCAGCCACACCCGACTTCTGGATTCTGGAGATCCAAACTCGGGTCTTCAACTTTGCCCAGGACATGCTCATCTCCCCAGCCTTCTCCCTTCCTTTTCTGTCATTAAACTGGAGACCGGCCACCGAAGCAGAGATGGCTGTCTACCCGGATCTTTGGGTCTTCATTCAGTAGGTGCGGGTTGGCTCCTCTTGGTGCTGTCCTCCGGAGGGCGGGGTCGCCAGGGACCCACCAGGCTGGTAGAGAAGAAACTGCTTGCCTTGCACTTAGCTTTTAGGGCTCTCCTTAGCCTGGATCTAAAGGCCACTGCGCCAGGAAGAGGAACAGAAACTGTTAGCTGTGGCCCTGCAGCAGCTGCCATCAGGAGTTCTAGAGAACTGATATTTGCTTAGAAACTTGGCAGAAAAGCCTTCTGGAAATACCCGTGGTGCTTGCTGTTGAGGATTTTTTTTTTCTGTGCTGCTGCAACTAAAATGTGACACTATTGCTGTTTTTCTTTTTTCTTTTTCAAAACAGAGTTTCTCTATACAGCCCTAGTTGACCTGGAACTCACCCTGTAGACCAGGCTGGCCTCAAATTTAGCCATCTGCCTTCTTTCCCTCCTGAATACACTATCTCATATGTGTGTTTGTGTGCGTGCGTGTGTGTGTGTGTGTGTGTGTGTGTGTGTGTGTGTGTTTTGAAACAGGGTTTCTCTGTGTCACAGTCCTGGCTGTCCTGGCATCTGCTTTGTAACGAGGCTGGCCTCGAGTCTGCCTCTGCCTTCCAAGTTCTAGTGCTGGGATTACAGGAGTGCACCACCATGCCTGGCCACACTATTGCTTTTTAAAAAGGAGCCAGAGAGGGCATTGATAGGGGTCCTTGTTTCCTTGTGTTCCTTCCTTCCTGGAATACATTTGAGAATATGTTTCCTAACCACCCCGTTTTCCTCCTGCACACTCATGCTCTCTCTCTCTCTCTCTCTCTCTCTCTCTCTCTCTCTCTCTCTCTCTCTCTCTCTCTCTCTCTCTCTCTCCCTCCCTCCCTCCCTCCCCCCCTCTCTCCCTCCCTCTCCCCCTCTCTCCAGCTAGGCATCACTGTGTCTTACCAGAAACAATAGGCCCCTAGCTGCTTCCTCTGCAGACAGGAAGCTGGGAAGGAAATCCCTCTTGGAGAAGGTCTATGGTCTTTAGAGTGGGGGGCCAGCAAGCTGCAGCTGCTGGTTTTGAATGCCCACAAGCTAAGAATATTTTTTACAACTTTACATGATTGGAGATTTTTGAAGACTGTTTCAAATTATGAGTCCCATATTTCAGTGTCTGTGTAGTTACTGAGATGCAGCCATATTCAGAAGATACTTGCTAAAAATAGCTAGTTAGCTTTTTTTTTTTTTTTTTTTTTGGTTTTACGAGACAGGATTTCTCTGTATTGTTTTGGAGGCTGTCAGTCCTCTCTGTGGCTTTGGAGACTGTCCTGGAACTAGCTCTTATAGACCAGGCTGGTCTCGAACTCACAGAGATCCGCCTGCCTCTGCCTCCCAAGTGCTGGGACTAAAGGCATGCGCCACCACCGCCTGGCCTATTTAGCTATTTTTGTATTATATGTTTATATAGCTATTATGGCTTTCTTTTTATTTTAAAATTTACTTTTTGTATGTATATGGATGTTTTGTCTGCATGTATGTTTGGGTACCACAAATGTGCCTGGCACCTGAGGAAGCCAGAAGAAATCATTTAGGACTAAAGTTATAGACCCTTGTGAATTGCCATGTGGGTGCTGGGAATTGAACTTGGGTCCTCAAGTAGAATAGCTGGTGGGTGCTCTTAACTACTAAGTCATCTTTCAAGCCCCTGTAATAAGTTTGGTTGTAGTTTACTTACTTATTGTGTGTATGTGTGTGGGTACATGCCTGTTATGGCGTGTATATGGAGGTCAGAAGACAACATGGAGGAGTTCTCTTCATCTACTATGTGGGTCCCATGATGGCACACACCTTTAATTCCATTACTCCGGAAACAGAGGCAGGTGGATCTCTGAGTTTAAGGCCAGCCTGGTCTACAAAGGGAGTTCCAGGCTAGCCAGGGCTACACATTGAGAGCCCCATCTCAGAAAACATTGTTTTAACTACATTTATGCGTGTGCATCTATCTGTGCATGTGTGCTGCTGTGCAGGTGGCAGTCAGAGGACCATGTGTGCAAGCAGGTTGTCAGACGGTGGAGTTCGTCTTTTCTGCTGAGCCATCTCAGCAGCCCCTGTGTGTGACACAGCATCGGCTGTTTCCCATGATGTCATCAGAATAGTCCAAATGCTCAGCAGAAGTTGTGTGGCCTTTGAAGACGTTAGTTACTATCCTTGCTATTGCAGAACATGTTTTTCGGCTGTGTTCTTGAACAAGCAGCCCTTCCCATTCTCTTCCCCAGCACTGGAGGAATGGAGCAGGAAGCTCAGTGCTTTTTTTTTGTCCTCGTAGGGCGTCAGAATGGCAGCTGGACCAGCCATCGTGGAGTGGCCGGCTACGGATCACTGCGAAAGGGAAGGTGGCCTACATCAAGCTGGAGGACAGGACCTCAGGTAAAGGCACAGGACATGGGTTGGGTTAAGGTACCCGAGCTTCCACCCATGGAAGAGAGAGGCTGCCCTGGCCAAGGCTGCTCAGGCCGGCGGCAGAACCTTTGCTGCAAGGTAAAGGTCTTTAGGTGCATCTAAATGCCGAATGGTAAGGCGGCGAGAAGCTGCAGTCTCCAGAGCCGTCAGCGTTCATCTCGGTTGTCGATGGTGACTCAGCTGCGTCTAAAGCACTGGACTTAGCCTGTAATCCCAGAACATAGGGAGATCCTTTCTCAAGCAACAAAACAAGGGTGCGTTTGATCAGACACTGAGGGCACTGAGAATGTACCTTTGATCTCAGAGCCCAACATAAAGGCTCCTGGATCTGTGGTCATCGCTGCAGCTACAGGAACCCAGAGTCCACAAGGGTACACTACACAAGGGTGCCTTTTCTTTCTTTTTGAGATAGAATCTCGTGTAGCCCAGGTTGGTATGGAACTCACTGTGTATCTAAGAATGACCTTGAATTTCTGATCCTAATGCCTCTATCTGAAGTATGGCGAGTATAGGCATACCCCGCCGTGCCTACTTTATGCCCTTCCGGGAAACAAATCCATGCACGCTAATCCAGCAGTTAAAGACGGGTCTTCTTTTGCCTCGTTTCTGAGACTGAACTGAGTTAGTGTTAGACTCTTTTGTGGGATTCTAACGTCCCTACTTTCTGCAAGGTTCACTGGCCCCTCTTACAGTCCTTCCTTGGGGTTGGGTCTTTCTGAGGTATGACACACCTGTGCTGGGCCCATCACCTTCAGCCTTTGAGTGGCCATACGAATAGAATAAGCTACTGGGCAGGTGCTGGCAGCCCTACTGTGGAGTTTCTGTGTGGGGATGGAGGCCCAGCATAGGTAGAACTTTTAATCTTTAAGAAAAGTCAAGGCCAGGCATAGTGCACATGCTTTAAGCCCATCTGGAGGCAAAGGCAGGGGAATCTCTGTGAATTTGAGGCCAGCCTGGTCTATGTAAGTGAGTTCTGGGACAGTCAGAGGTACATAGTGAGACCCTATCTCAACACCCCCCCAAAGCTGCAGAAATGGGGGCTATTTTAAAGCAGTCTGATTTTGAAATGTTTGTCACTTAAGTAAAAACTGTTGAACTGTGAGTGAATGTGACCAGTAAGCCACTTGTAACTGTTTTCCATTTCATGTTGGCATTGTCCCTTCAGCTAGAATAGATTTGATTGAATCCTGGAGTAGTGCCCATCTGTCCAGCCCTCCTGGTGGGGCTCACCACAGGAAAGCCCTATTGGTGCATACAACATCAGGCTGGGGGAACCCCGCATCACCTCCCTCACCCTGTACTTACAGGGGAGCTCTTCGCGCAGGCCCCAGTGGACCAGTTTCCTGGCCCAGCTGTGGAGAGCGTGACTGACTCCAGCCGGTACTTCGTGGTCCGCATTGAAGATGGAAACGGTATGTGTGGGTCTGGAGGACTCTTCTAAGCAGAATCCTTGCCTCTGAAACAAGAGATTGATGGCTGTCACCTTTCTAGGGCGACGTGCTTTTATTGGGATTGGCTTTGGGGACCGAGGGGATGCCTTTGACTTCAACGTGGCATTACAAGACCATTTCAAGTGAGTACCTCTTGGGACACGTATTCTTTTTTTTTTTTTTTTTTTTTGGTTTTCGAGACAGGGTTTCTCTGTGGCTTTTGGAGACTGTCCTGGAACTCACTTGGTAGTCCAGGCTGGTCTTGAACTCACAGAGATCTGCCTGCCTCTGCCTCCCGAGTGCTGGGATTAAAGGCGTGTGCCACCAACGCCCGGCTGGGACACGTATTCTTGTCTCCTGCTTCTCTTCCCTTCTTTCCAAGACATAACAGCTCTTTCTGGTTATAAAGTTAAGTGACTGCTTTGTTTGTTACCAGCCCATCAGTCCCCCTCCAGATTGCCTTCTCTGCTCTGCTGGTCCCCAAAGCTGTGTGCCACCTATGTCAGCTGGCCTAAGCTTTTCAGTAGTGTCCCAACTCTTCCTCAGCAGCCTCTGAGCTCCTGTGACTCTAAGGCTCTGCTTCTTTATAATGCCACAAGTGGGGCTAGCATTTCCAGGGCATCCTGGGACTCTGCTAGGTAGTGCAGGTGGTAGCTGGGCAGTGCCTACCATTTGTGTGGACACCCCTGTCCCAGGTGGCTGCTGGCAGCATTGTGGGAGGGTAGGCAGCATTGTGCTGCCCTTTGCTTTTGGACATCTGTCCTGTCTCAGAATATAGGAGTGTCCAGGTGGAGCCAGAGGCACAGGCCGTGCCAGGGGCTAGAGGGAAAGGGTAGGCTACTTCAAAACTAAGTTTTTGGAGCTTTCTAGATTTTATTAAAATTCATATTAATTTTCAAGAAAATACTACATCAATTGTTTTAATGAGCTTCTGTCATAATGTTTACAACTGATATTAGAGCTCAGGTAAGGACAGTGAATGGACAACCCTTTGACTATTACCCCCGCCTAAATTTACTACTTTTATGAGCCATAATGCAGATATCTGCTATGTGACTCCTGTGAAAGGGTCATTCGACCCCCAGGTTGAGAACCACTGGTCTAAACCATGGTGCTGATAAGGGAGCTGATATCCGTGCTGCTGCTTCAGAGTTTCAGAACTGGGGTCTGGACTACCGGTTGGGAAGTTGGCCTCAGCACGGACTCCTGGACTGAAGGCATTGCGTGTGAATGCAGGGCAGCTGCTGTTCCTGCCTCACCACTCTTTTCCTGGTCCTCCCCAGGTGGGTGAAACAGCAGAGTGAGTTTGCAAAACAAGCCCAGAACCCAGACGAAGGCCCCAAATTGGACCTGGGCTTCAAGGAGGGCCAGACCATCAAGATCAACATCGCAGTGAGTCCCGCCCTCCCTTGACTGTATGGACCATGGTTTTGTGACTCGAATCCACCCAGCCCAAAGCCTCCCAACCCCCCAAATCTTTCATAGTTCAGTTCCATCCATGTAGCCGTAATTGATCCAGTAGTTTGGCCTCGTTCCCGCAGAGCACCGGGCCTCTCCTTCCATGGCTTCCCAAGTTGAGCTGACTATGTACAGATGTGATTGCAAAAGGGCAGGAGAGACCCTATGACGAGAGCAGCCCTGCTGCTAGGACTTCTGGAGGAAAAACACATGGCCCAGAATGCAGGAACCCATGGAAAGAAAGCCTTCTTGGAAAGAGTGACCTGTGGGCGGGCATGGGGGGTCAGAGGGTAGCCACTCAGTACCAGTGTTTCTGGTGTTTCTGTCCTGGCTAATGGAGTGATGAGGAGGTTCATTGTGCTTATCTCAAGCTGTATGTTGACCTCATGCCTGAGTGAGGAAGGTTTGGGAGCACGCTGGGCTGGAAGGCATCAAGGAGGGTGCTGGGAGTCAGGGGCAGCTTCTGCTGGTGGTATTGTCCTGGCTCCTCGAGTCTTCTTGTTGTGTGCTTTGCATCCAGCATCCCCTGCCACAGGTCATGGTGAACTGGGTGCCCAGACATGGTCACTCCCTGGCTCCTGGAGTAGAGGGGGCGGTGGAGTTGGAGGGCATTGGGGAACCAGGACCAAAGGGGTCTGTTTGGAGGAAGTGTGTGACTCTGAAATGCTTTTCCTCTTTACTCACCATTTCTTTCTCTTTCCTGCTTCATGCTGGTGATGCTTTGGGACCTTGACGTTGGCCAGCTGGCCCTTGAGAAAATGCAAGGCCAATCCAGTGGACTGGTGGCACTGTGATTCTTTCTCTTGCTTGGAAGACACTAACATTTAATGAGCGCCAGCTGTGGGCCAGGTAGTGTTTTCAGGCATTTCTCATACGGCTTCAGGATCTCCCTTTGTAAAGATGAGAGATTGAGACACAGAGCTGGGGCTGGGGTGGGGGGATAGGATAGGAGAACCAGAAATAGCTGGCCCAACGGGGTGCACGGGGAGGATGCTGGGCCTTCCACCTCTGCCTCTGCCATGCTCGCACGCAGAGCTGCTGTCCTCGTCCACGTGGCTTGTGCTGGTTTCCGGCTCACACCTGGTGCTCACTGCTTTATTATGTTGCATCAAAGTGTCACATGCAGAAAAGTGTCCAGATTATAAATGTGGAACAGAGTGAATTTTTCAAAACCGAACAAGGGCTGGGAAGATAGATGACTGTCGGTAAAGTGCTTGCCTTGCGAGTCGGAGAACCTGAATTCAAGACCTGCATGCTAGGGAGAGCTAGGGAGACAGACAGAAGGCCCCTGGTGCTCACTGGGCAGCCATCCCATCTAAGTGGTGAGTTCCAGGGCAGCGAGAGATGCAGACTCAAGGAGGTGACAGGTGTTTCTGAAGATGGCATTCAGGGTTGACCTCTGACCCCCATACTCACATGCATCCTCAGTCACATGTATGAACACGCACACACACCTCTCTACTTTAAAAGCATGGGACTTCCCTAGAAGCAGAAGACTGAGGAGTTGGGAGCCCTTGTCCTGCCCACTTCTGATAGCTTCCTTCCCTGACTTCAGATACCCTGGATTGGGTCTGTGCTTTGCTTTTGTGAGTTGTGTGGGAGACTTAATCTCTTTCATATATGGTCCCCCCCATTCAGTGTCATGTGGTAAGAGTTTCCCATGCTGCCTGTGGTGGCTTGTCCTCTGTGATGGACCATGCCATGTGCTCCTAGCTCATCTGTCTCACTGAGGATAGACACTGGGGAACTCCATCTGGTGAGCTCCGGATGGTGCTGCTCTGAACGTCCGAGCTCACGTCTTTGTTGAGCACGGCGCCTCAGGATGAGACTGCAGAGACCTGTGATGCACTCAGCGGGTGCCTGTGGATGCTTCAGCAGCGCGCTGACTGGCTTCCCTTGCCCCACTGTGCATGAATGCTCCAGCTGCTCTGTCCTCGTCAGTACTCTGCAGTTTCCATGGGGCAGAATGGTGTGTGGCTGTAATTGTTGTGTACTTTCCTTATGACAAGTGAGATCAGGTGCTGGGTTTTTACACTGACCGCATTGGTACTAGATGGAAAATAGGGATGGCGTGGCTATAGCTCCTGCTGATGCTGTATTGGACTGTGGTTTGCTGTACAGATGTTGAGGACTGGAGATCTTACGGTTTTTCCAGTAATCATGACTGTGGCATGATGACTAATTTGTATTCTGCTCTTCTCTTTAGAACATGAGAAAGAAGGAAGGAGCATCTGGGACACCGAGAACCAGGCCTGCCAGTACAGGAGGGCTGAACCTGCTTCCCCCTCCTCCAGGGGGCAAGACCTCCACCCTCATCCCTCAGTTGTCTGCCGGGGCTTCTCCAACCCAGCCGGCAGCTATTTCTGGTTCAGGTGAGTGCTGTGGTGACCATTGCATCCGTACCTGTCAGCCTCAGCCCCGGAAGTGATCCTGTCGCTTTCCTTTCTCACACCCACTTTGTACCCGTGTGTGTGTGTGTGTGTGTGTGTGTGTGTGTCTGTCTGTCTGTCTGTCTGTCTGTCTGTCTGTCTGCCTGTCTAGATGGTGGCAACAGAGTGTGTCTTGCATACACTTGAGGTTCCTCTATTCCATAATCTTTCTTCTTCCCCTTCAGCCACCTGTCCTGTCCTGATAGGCAGTGACTGTGACACAGTCCTCAGTGTTCAAGTGTCTGGGCCTCAGTGTGTTATCAAGTGGTCTGTACCCAGATGTCGTCGTGGGAGAGGTGAACCAAATGTGTCAGGCCCAGATCACTAGGGCCAGAAAACATCCCCCTTGGGGGACTTTCCGGAGGAACTTGGACTCTGAAGGAAAGCCACCGGGACAGGGGTGTTGGCATTGTAGGTAGAAAGAAGAGTGAGACCGAGGCTCAGGTTTTGAGAAGCTGCTCTGAGGTCGATGCAACCGTCAGTGTACCATGGTGAGCAGGAGACACCATGGGGCAGATCTGCTGTGGGCTCCTTGGTGCAGCAGCAGGAGCTGGGAAGCTGAGACACCACGGGGCAGATCTGCTGTGGGCTCCTTGGTGCAGCAGCAGGAGCTGGGAAGCTGAGACACCACGGGGCAGATCTGCTGTGGGCTCCTTGGTGCAGCAGCAGGAGCTGGGAAGCTGAGGGGCTGCTCCCACTGGGCAGTGCTGGGAAGCCCTTTCTCTACACTTCCCCACCAAGCTGGGATAGTCACCAGCCCTTTCCCACAGCATTGTCAGCAGGTTTGGAGTGATGCAGGAGTCCTTCCTGTGCTCCTGGTTCTTAGAGTCTCTGACATTGGCTCTGCTCTCTGGAGGTCCAGCTCCAACATTCAGCCATGTGAGCTTGGCCAGGAGACTGCCAGAGTTGAAACCAGCCTCTGCCCGCATCAGGAAATGGTTCTTCTGGCATTATGTTCAGAGTGTGCTCACAGGACACCGGCTGTGGCATTGCCAGGGACAGGAGCAGCGGTCTGGATGTTTAGGACATTCTTGTGTGTGTCTCAGCCTTCCCTGGTTCCTGGGCCCTGTCTGAGTGCATGTGAGGATTAGGCCTAGGAGATAGCATAAGTGTTCCTTGACTTGGGATGGATGGAGTCACATTCTGGTAAACAGGTGGAACCTGCATTAACACTTTCATAAACCATAATAATAAAGCTGAAAAACCAAATCCAGCATCGTTAAGTCAGGACTTTTGTACAGCACGGAGTCCTTGCTCTCCGTGGCTGCCATGCTAGTGCTCACAGCGTGCAGTAAGACGGTGTCAGACAGTAGGCCCGCTGCCATCTGCTGCTGCTGTCTGCTCTGGAGCCACTGAGGCACAATGCAGACTAGCTCACTGCTTTCGAGCTCCTAGTGGCCTGCTTCTCTGTGCCTGCTTCCCCGTGTGTAGACTGAGGTAGTGATGTTCTTTACGGTGAAGTTACCCGAGCTAAGCCAGGGACCACACTTGGAGTATGCTGACCACTGTGCGCTTTCACCGGGTGCCAGCCTGGGCTCATTGGCATTTTAATGGCACTGTGTGTTGGGCCTGAGCTGAGCATGCCAGATCTGTATGCTCATTCCGCCCTGTGAAATTGTCCTATCAGCCGAATGAGAGATAAGAAACTCAAATGACTTGCACAGTCACACAACTAATCCCAGCCTGACTAGGGGCTGTGGTGAGGTTCAAATGAGATAATGCATGCTTAGCACTCAGTGAACTGTGAAGTGCCCCCATCGAGGACCTTGGTTTTATCTGGTTTTCCAGCCCAAGGCAGATGAGAAATGGCAACCCGGCCATGGCCACGTAGGAAAGGTGCCAAGAAGCCCCGAGTAAGCCTGCCCCGGCAGAGAGAGGTGCAAGGCCAGCTTCTGTGTGGCTTCGACTGGAAGGCTCTCCCTGGCAGTGTGTGGCATATAGCTCTGGCTGGTTGGTCCACATGGTTCAGGAGGCTTTCTGGAAGGGCCTCTGGGGTTTGGAGAGGCATTCCCACTCCAGAAGCCAAGGCAGGACACAGGGTGATTCGTGTTCCCTGGCACCCTCTCCCTTCACCTTGTATGTGGCTCCTGCTTTCTCTCTAGGGGCCACCAGGGATCCGTGAAAAAAAGTGGTGGAGAGGTGGCTCTCTCTGGAGTTGTTCGTCCCCAAAGCATGTCTCACTGTGTCTCAGCTGCCTGAAGTCATGAGACTGGCCACCAGATTTCAAAATTTAGTAACTGAGACCACCAGAAAGGTAGCTCTGACTTCCCTGTCTCTTTTCTCTCCCTCACTGGACTTGGGACATCACTAGGAAGTGCCACAGAACCCTGGCCACAGTCTAAGCCTGCTGCCGCCGCCACTGCTGATATCTGGGGTGATTTCACCAAATCCACAGGGTGAGGAGGGTAACTGTCTGGACTGGGTGGGGCCAGAGCTGTTCCCCTGAGTCCTCTGGAATTGCTGGTTGGACATTTTCATGGCAGACATGGGACAGAGTCCCTGCCTCGGGTGGCATACTGCCCTCTTTGTAAAACTTTTCACTGTTACCTACTGCCTGAGATGACCTTCTGCAAGCTTGTCTGGGTCTCACCAAGTGCTGTCCTGGGTCAGGAATCCAGACCCAGATTTTAGTCCTGGGCCATCTTCACAGGACCTCTGAAGCAAGGCATCTCCTGAACATTATGGCCTGCCTTTGGGGTCAGTGTGGCAAGATGCCAGGTTCCTGTCATCGGGGTATATGGGAAGTTCTGGAGCTTCCAGCACAGCTCTGTCTTCTGTAAAGGAACAGACAGAGACAGCTAAAATCTACACACGGACCAGATTGGATCCTTGAGCCACATCTGCTGTCCACTGCTCTGGACCCTTTGGGGACTGCCTGCTCAGAGCTCCTGCCCAAAAAGATGCCCAGGGTCTGCTCTCCAACAGCTGGGCACTACCACCCTCCCTGTCTTCCCCTCACAGGTCACCCTCCAACCAGTCTCAGCCAGGCACCGGCTGGGTCCAGTTTTGATGCACAACCTTTTCTTCATGACTTCTGGGAAGGAGCCGCCTCATCCAGGCCCACAGAAGGAGGCAAAGCGCTCCCTGGCAGCTCCTGGAGCATCATTGCCCTCCCCTTGCCCGGCTCTCCTGACAGCCTGAGCACACGAAGCAGTGAATGGGCGCCACATCACACTGTTGTGGAAGTCCAGGTGCTGCACAGCCAGGAGACAGGAGCAGACACTCCAGGGCCCCCCAGCCCATCCTTCCTCCTTGTGGGAGGGACCCAGACCTACCTTCTTCCACGAAGTGATCCTTATTAAACACAGCCCCTAAAGCACAGATTGGGTTGAATTTGTGGCCTGGGGTCAGCTCTGCCTGTCGGGTTGGCAGGAGTCCCAGATTCACCGTTGGGCAGGGGAGTCTGCATGCTGTTCACACTAGCCCTTGTTGGGTACCTTCCAGAGGAGTCCTTCCTGGTTGCTAGCAAATTTTTGAGCTGCAGCTTGAGTGGACTGTTGGGGACACTGGGAGGATAAACAGCTTTTTGAAAATGTTAATACATCGCTCTACTAATATGCTGACCAGCACTAACGTGCCCTTGTGAGGGACTCACCGTGGCGGGCGAGGGGCTCTCACACACCCTTCTCCCTTCTCTGAACCCCAGAGGCAGCAGTGGAAATCAGCCTGCATACCTGGTTTCCATGTCTTCAACCAGTCTCCCCCTCAGGTAGGGCAGGCTCTGGAAACCTGCTGGGCTGTGTTGTGGGGAAGTTGAAACATCATAGACTGGGCCAGCCTGCCTGTCTTCTGCTTCTGCGCTGGACTCAGGTTCAGAGTCCTTCCCTGGTGGCTTCTGGAGGGAGCAGCTATCTGTATATACCCTCTTTTTCCTTCAAAGACTGTGACAGAAGAGGAGCTCTGTCAGTTGGAAGTCCTGGCCATCAGGAGTAGTGATTTATAAGAAACCATTGTCTCCTCAGTGCCTCTCTGATGTTTCTTAACCTTACCTTCAGTTGAAAGGTTTCTTTTTTGAAGGGCTAAGACTGTGAACTGAAAGACGTTTTGACCTTGTGGGACCAGAGTTTTCAAGATGAAAAAAAAAATAAATGTTTTTACTTGTGTAGTATATGTCAGACGGATGTGTTTTTGGCAGCATGGCTGCTCGGCTCTCGGGTGCCAGGGCATCGTGTCATCCAAGGAGAACCTGCTCCTTTTGCTCTAAGGGCGGCACACCTCCCATCATGTCTGGAGGAGTCTTTCCCATCCTCGTGACAGTTGGAGTCACTAGGGCAGACTGATTGTGTCATAGACTTTCAGTGGACAAAGCTCTGGAGAAACTTGTCTCGATAGACCACCACACAAGCCCAAGTGTGAAAGGGTGTGTGTTCACAGAGGCCAGGCAGAAAAACAATAAAAAATAAATGCTGCTTAAGCCTGAAGGTTCTGGACCAAAGGCTGCCGGATCCTACCCACTAAACACAAGAGGATTGTGTCAAAGGGGCCTTCTGCATCACATTGCTGCCCACTATACATGGAGGCTGAAAATCAGAATGTGCAGACCTGTAGGGTTCCCTTAATTAGAATTCTGCCATATGTGATGGTGCCTACTGGTAGTTCCAGTACTCAGGAAGTAGACATGGAAAGATGGTGAATTACAGGTCAGCCCTGGCTGCATACTGAGACTTGGTGTCAGAATATTATAGGAGCTGGAGAGATGACTCAGCACTTGAGTGTATTCTGCTCTTGCAAAGGACCCAAGTTTGCTTTCTAACGCCCAGGTAAGCAGCTCACCGCTGCCTTTAGCTTCATTCAGCTCTAGAGGAATCCAATGACTGGTTTTTCTGAGCACTTGCAGCCATGCACACATACATGCATGAGCAGACACTTTTCTATGTGTAAATATGATTATGAGTATTTGCCTGAATCTGCATGCTTGTAGAGAGGGTGCCAGCTCTCCCAAGACTAGAGTCACAGGCAGTTGTGAGCCATCAAGTGGGTGATGGAAATTGAACAAGGATCTTCTGAAAGAGCTGTCAGTGCTCTCAACTACTGAGCCATCTGTCCAGCCCCACTGATTTTTAAAAAGTATTCTGAGGCCAGCTCTTGGCTTCTGGGCTTTGGATCTCGGATGTCCCTTTGTTGGCAGTGTGGCCACTGCCCTTTTTCCATGTGTCAGGTGTTTCCTCAATTGCTCTCCACTTTATTTAAAATTTTGGTTTTGTTTTGCACGAGAGTCTTCTGCCTTCCTGTATGCCTGAGCGCCTCATGTGTACCTGGGGCCAGCAGCGACCAGCAGGGGGCATCAGATCTTACTCAAGGCCTCACTTGAGCCTGCCAACCCTTGACAGCCTTACAGAGGACAAGAAAGCTGGCCCTGTGCTGACCTGTGCAAGTGGGACAGTGTTTGCAGCTGGTCTGGCTGGGCTTCTAGCTGCTGCACTACAAAGAGGCAAGCGGAAGAGATGTGTGGGCTTCAGCTGGAAGGGGCCCACCTAGCGCTCTTCCTTGCATAAAGCCCTGGGTTTGAGCCTCAGCACTTAAAACTACCATGATGGTAGTTCGTAATCCATGCATCTGGGAGGCAGAGACAGGAAGATGAGAAATTCAAGGCACTTTGAGCTACACAAGGAGTTGGAAACTAGCTTAGGCTCATGGGACACTGTTAAGAAGCAGAGCAGCAGGTGTGATGCACACTTGTAATCCCAGCACTTGGAAGGCAGAGACAGGACTACTCAAGTTTGAGGCATCCACAGATACATAGGGATTCCAGACCAGCCTGGAATAGACCTTGTCTCACGACAGCAGAAAGCCTTGCTGCTTCCATCTTTCCCAGAGGTCTAGATAGGCCTCAAGGGCCGGACTCCTTGCAGCTTCTGGTGGCCCCAGGTGTTCCTTGGTTTGTACAGTCCAATACTAGTCTCTGCTTCTTCTTGCATGGCATTCTCCATGTCTCTTTGTCCCCTATCCTTGGTACACCCATCATTGTATTCAGTGACCCTTGTGATTCTGGGATGTCATCTTGAAATCAGTAACTAATTACAGCTGCCGGGTTTCCACACTTTTTCTAAACAAGTTCACATATACAAGTACTGGGGGTTAGGACTTGAACATAAATTTTTAGGGGGGGGCTGTTCAGTACTCTAATGACTAGTGTCTCCTTAGAAGTTACATAAATAGCCGGGCGTTGGTGGCGCACGCCTTTAATCCCAGCACTCGGGAGGCAGAGGCAGGCGAATCTCTGTGAGTTCGAGACCAGCCTGGACTACCAAGCGAGTTCCAGGACAGCCTCCAAAGCCACAGAGAAACCCTGTCTCGAAAAACCAAAAAAAAAAAAAAAAAGAAGTTACATAAATATGCAGTGAGCGCTCAGTCACTTAGAGATGGATATTATAAATGTTTGACTGATAGCTCAGGCTTTTTACTAACTAGCTTTTACAACTTAACCCATTTCTATTAATCTATGTGCTGTCCCAAGCAAGGCTTGTGGCTTTTACCTCTATCCCATTTTATGTGTCTGATTTATCTGGCTGGCTGGCAACTCCTCGGACACCTTTCTTCCTCCCAGCATTCTCAAATTGGCTTTCCTGCCTAGCTTTATCCTGTTCAGTTACTGGCCAGTCAGCTTGTTTATTAAACCAGTCACAGTGACAAATCTTCAGGGTACAAAGGGTTATTCCACTGCACTGGGCTACATAATTCCAGGCTAGCCTGGACTGCAATGTGAGACCATGTCTCAAAATAAAAGAGTGAGTTCCAGGACAGGCTCCAAAGCATAGAGAAACCCCGTCTCGAAAAATCAAAAAAATTTTTTTAATTTCAATTTTGAAGCCAATTGTCTTAGGTTTTTTTGTTTTTGCTTTGATTTTTTTTTTTTTGTTTGTTTTGAGACAGGGACTCTCTGTGTAGCTCTGACTGTCCTGGAACTCGCCCTGTAGATCAGGCTGACCTCAAACTCACAGAGATCCACCTATCTCTGCTTTCTGAGCACTGGGATTAAAGGTAAATGCCACCACCACCCAACTAGTGTTGGCACAGGCCTTTGATCCCAACACTCTGGAGTTAGAGGCAGGCAGGTCTCTGAATTCAAGGCCAGCCTGGTCTAGAGAGTGAGTTACAGGACAGAGTGGGCTACACAAAGAGAATCCCTGTCTTGAAAAAACCAAAAAAAAAAAAAAAAAAAAAAAGAGAGAGAGAAAGAAAAGTGTATGTGTATGTAGCTGCATGACTATAGATTAGAGGAGCTGGCGTTCCACTGTGGGCTGCTGGCAGGCTTGTTACACAGGTGCTGAGATCCAAACTCCCAAACTCACGATTGTACTGCAAAGGCTCCTAACCCTTGGGCCATCTCCAACTCAACATGTTAGTGTCATCTTTTTCTGTGTCACAGCGGCTCATGTAGCCCAAGGTTGGCCTCAAATTCACTGTGTGTAGCCTTCACCTCCCAAGTGCTGGGATTTAGGTATACTCTACTGGGCTGTTATATGTAATACTGGTTCTTACTATTTTCTCTAGTGGTTGATGTTTTTGTTTCGTTTTTGTTTTTAAGATGGTTTCTCTACACAGCCCCGGCTGTTCTGGAACTCACTATGTAGATAGACTAGGCTGGCCTCAGAGAGATCTGTCTGCCTCTGCCTCCTGAGTGCGTGTGCCATTTGGAAAACAAGCTTTCTGGATACTTGTATTCAGTATTTCTGAATACTTTACAGATGCAAACCTATAAAGTTAAAGATGCTTTACAAGCCGAACACTCTAGAGGCAGGCTAGAACCAAGGTACTATTTTGAAGACACATCAGGAGACCTACATGCAGCTGGTTAGAAGGTCTGGATGTCTCTTCATTCCATTTAGGACAAGGACCACCAGATGAGCTTGTAGGATGCGGTGGAAGCAGTTAAAGCACCACCATGCCCTTTAATCCTAGCACTCAGGGAGCCAGAGGCAGGCGGATCTGTTTAAGTTCGAAGGCAGCCTGGTCTTCAAAGAGAGTTCTAGGACAGTCTCCAAACCTACAGAGAAACCCTGTCTCGAAAAACCAAAAAAAAAAAAAAATTATATGTTTGTGTTTTGCCTGTATGTATGTGGGTGCTGGGAATAGAATCCAGATCCTCGAAAGAGCAACAAGCGCTCTTACCCGCTAAACCAACTCTCCAGTCCCACACCACCATTTTACAGGTGAACAAACAGATGGCAGAGTGCTGAGCAGGACCGCTCTGTCATCAGGAAGGCAGTCTCTCCACGGGTCACAGCATTAAAGCCTCGGCACTGCTACCGTGGCTCTGAGTGCCAGCAGAAATGCCATCCCTCCAACCCACAGCCTGGCAATCTTTGGCCAGAACGCAGAGGTTTCGCACCTCTGCAGCTGAGATACTTTCACCCGAGTGCAGGGCGGTCCAGAGCAACAAAGGTGACCTCCAGGAAGAAGCCGGAGCAGAGGACCTAGTCGTGCACGTCCTACTTACTGTGCAGAGACCCTTTCTTGGCTGAGCCCCGCTGGCCCCGCCTTGGCCCCGCCCCCGCCTGAGCCACGCCTCATGGCTACTTCCAGCGGCTGAAAGCCTTTTCCCACCCTGCGGGCACTTTGCGGCGCCTCAGACACGCCCCCTCAACGCCCCTCGGCTACGCCACGCCCCTTCGGAGGGTCGCCTTTCCCCACCGCAGGGCGCATGCTCTGTCTTAGTCTCGAACCCCATCCCCCCCGCCCCACCTCGCTCAGCCTTGTAGCGCCTTTCTCCACCAGGAGGCGCTCGCTTCGCCTCGGACCCACCCTCGCCTGTAGGACTCACCCCTAAGATCCCGCCTTTTCCCCCTCCACTCCGCACCGCGGAGGCCTTTCTCTTTGGTCGGGCCATAGCCCCGCCCCTACGTCGCCACGCCTTTTCCACGCCCCAAAGAGTACGCCCCGCCCCTCAGCTGTGTCCGCTCGGCCTCGGTGGAGGCGCGCGAAGGTAAGATCTCGCGCCGCGCGTGCGCGGGGCGGAGACGGGGCGGGCGCGCGGAGCTAAGAGGCGGGCTGGAGTTGTGTGGGTGTCCTGGGGTCTCTCTGCACCCCGGGCGACCCCGCCGTACTGGGCTGGGCCAGGTCTGGGCGGGAAGGGAACGCACCGGCGGTGCGTACCCACTGGAGTCTTCCCTCCTGGGCCCCGCGGCCTGCGGCTCAGCAAGCTCTCAGGGGTACTCTCGCTCCACTGGGCTCAGCCGTCGAGGACGACGGTCACCCAAAGCCGCATACGTCGCTGCTCGCGGCCCCCCGAGTGCCAGGCCCGGCCCCACGTTCCTCAGTGGGAGCTCTTTCTCTTCGCTTTAGCCGATGTCCGGGAAAGGCTCTCCATAGTGCACACGAGCAAGCTGGGGCCCGGCGCGGTCACTGTGTGTCTAGCATGGTGAGGCCGCAGAAGCTTGAGCGTGCAGATTTGGGCTTCCACCCAGGGGGTCCCAGCAGAGCTCCAACCTGTGGCTCTGCAGCTGGCATTTGGAGAGACCCTCAGACTTTTTGCAAGCCCAAGTCTGAAGGAATGTCTGTCGCCCCACCCCAGATCTGCCCAGTCCCCTGGGGACCGGAATTGTCTGGAGAGTGAGGACCCTTAGGGAGGGGCCTTGGAAGTAACTGCTCAGATTTCTTTTTTCCTGTCGAGCTCACAAATAACTCCAAGAGTAGCAGAGGCTGTGGTTCCCAAACACACGTTTCTCTTCAATTGCAGCCCTACCCCCCTCCAGGGGCAAGTCTTGCAGATTGAGTGGGTTGTAGGAGGTTAGGAACCCTGGACCCATGGTGCTGGACATGGGTTTACTGTTGTCTTGTGATTCCTGGCTGTGTGGCATGGCTGAGATTTATGCAACCCCCAGCCAAAGTTAAGGGTATTATTCACACACATACATGCACGCATGCACTCACGCACAAATATTTAGTTTTCTGTTCAGGTTAAACGTCCCAAAAGTCCTTCATTTAAAACAATTTTTTCGGGGGGTAGGGACGGGGGAAAAAAAAGAAAAAACAAATTTTCGAGTCTGCTAGTGGTGGCGCACACCTTTAATCCCAGCACTCGGGAGGCAGAGGCAGGTGGATCTCTGAGTTGGACACCAGCCTGGTCTGCAATGCAAGTTCCAGAATAGCCAGGGCCACACAGGGAAACTCTTTCTTAAGAATCCAAAAAACAAAACAAACAAACAAACCAGAACCCAGTTTTTTTTATGATATTTACATATAAAAGAATTGAGGGGACAGGACCCAAATCAAAACAAAATGCACTGGTACTTCCAACTTCAATTATTCACATAGCTTGCAGTAGCTTTATACACCTTTGGTGTACAGTGGTTAGCCACAGGAAGTTAGGTACGGGCCACTTGTGGCACTGACTCAGAGGTTTTTGATTTTTCACATTAGAGATGCTCAGCCTGTTTAGTTGTTCATCTTGGTGTTCATTCATTCATTCATTCATTCATTCACTCAACATCTGTTTGTAGAGCTTTGGGCCCTCGGCACCGAGGAGGTGGTAATGCCCAGTGCTCTGTGCAGAGATGACAATGTCAGCAGTGAGTCACTACCAGAGAGGACCACTTTAGCTGGGGGTTCAAGCTAGCTCTATCAGAAAGTGCTGCTCTTGAGTCTAGCTAGATCTGATCTCCCAGCAGCACTCACTTCATCTAGTGTAAAGGAGGAGGAAGAGGCCCTGAGGCAGAGAGGATGGCCTGAGGTAGGGCGTGTGTGTGTGTGTGTGTGTGTGTGTGTGTGTGTGTGTGTGTGTGTGTGTGTGTGTGTCTGAGTAGTGGGGAAAGAGAAGGAATTGAGGTGGGGCAGGTGGGCTGGGGCCAGGCTCAGTAGGCCTTTAAGGCTCGGACAAGAATACAAACTTTATTTTAGCAGTGACGATGGCCCGTGGGGAGCTTTGAGCAGGGAAGAATAGGACCTCACCGTATTCAGCGGAATGGAGTTGGGAGACCAGAGAGGAAGCCACCTTAGCAGTTCGTGTGAATCAGCGGCTTCGATTATATACTTTAGAGACCAGGATGTGCTGGGCGCATAGCAAGGGGGGGCTGCATGAAGACAGCTGTTGCTGTTGCTGCTTAAGACTTTGCACTAGAAGGGCGGGTGTGGAGAGGTTGGTGGATGTTTGCCTGATGTGCACAAAGCCCTGGGTTGGGTCCCTAGCATTGAGTAAACTGGGCTGGGCCTATCCTCCTATGACCCCAGCACCGGGGAGGAGGAGCTAGGATGGGCAGAAGCTCAGAGCATCCCCTGCGACATGGTGAGCTGAAAGCCATCTGGGATGCTTAACACCCTGTCTTGAAAAACCTAGCTGAAGCAAAGTAACTTTGAGACCAGGGCAGCCTGTTCTCAGCTGTGGCTTCAACTCCTCATAGCTGCTGGGTCCGAGCAAATTATTTACCTTCACCGAGTTGTAGTTGTAGAGCAGTTCCTCCTGATGGGGCGTTTGGGATCCTGCTTGGGTTGGTTCAACATTCCTGTTACAGTTTCTAGTCGGCGACCAGAGAAAATGAGGGGGTGAGTGGTAGGAAAAGCTGGTCTGTTTGTGAGTAATTGTTGAGGAGATGTTTGGCCAGGTGTGGCATATAGCAGGCTTGGCGCTCCAGCAAGAGTGGGTACAAGGGATATCCTCCAGACAGTGGCTGAGGGTCAGGAAGTGAGACGCAGAGCCTGGAGCGGGCACGGGGAGAACCAGTGACTACGAAGAATGGGATGAATAGTACAACGGCCACAAGGATAGGCGACAGCCGCCGGCCCTGTTTAACTGCAGAGGAATTAAGGATACGCTCGCTCATGGAGTCATGTGACCCTTACAACGCAGAGGCTAACACAACGGAGGTTTACAAATGCTCTGTGCTTCCTATGGAGTGAGCCAAGGACCAAAGCCTTCCATCTTGTGGTTCTGGTACCCTCTGGGACCCGGAGTTATTTCCTTCTAGTTGGCAGACGGGACAAAAGAAGCAGTTCCTTTGGGAAGGTTTTATGAATCACTCCAACGTGATGCATTCTCTCCGTCTTAGCTCTGTTGGGTAGCACTAGACCATGTGGCCGTATTTCGTCCACAGCCCTGGCATATGTAGCCAGGTGCACAGCTTCTTTCATCCTCCTGGTCGAAGCAGACACCATTGGCACCTTTCGACAGAAAAGAAAACAGACTCAGGGTGAAGAGGGGTGATATCACTGGTACAAGGTGACCAAGTAGTCACTTGCTGTCAGAGTTCACTTTTTTTTTTTTTTTTGAGACAGGGTTTCTTTGAAACAGTCTGGCTATCCTGGAACTCATTTTATAGACCAGACTGACCTCCAACTCACAGAGATCCATCTGCCTCTGCCTCCCAAGTGCTGGGATTAAAGGTGTGCACCATCATTGCCCAGTCAGGCCAGAGTTCACTTTTGTTGCTATATATAAATCACAAGATTGGATAGGTTTCCCCCCCCCCCCACTTTTTTAAGATTATTTTTATTTATGTATGTATTTATTTATTTATTTTTGGTTTTTCGAGACAGGATTTCTCTGTGGCTTTGGAGAATGTCCTGGAACTAGCTCTTGTAGACCAGATTGGTCTCGAACTCACAGAGATCTGCCTGCCTCTGCCTCCCAAGTGTTGGGATTAAAGGCATGTACCACCAACGCCTGGCTGAGATTATTTATTTTTATTTTACTTGTATATGAGTTTGCCAGCCGGGCGTTGGTGGCGCACGCCTTTAATCCCAGCACTCAGGAGGCAGAGGCAGGCGGATCTCTGTGAGTTCAAGGCCAGCCTGGTCTACAGAGCAAGTTCCAGGACAGCCTCCAAAACAATACAGAGAAACCCTGTCTTGAAAAACCAAAAAAAAAAAAAAAAAAAAAAGTTTGCCTACATGTATGTATGTGGGCTGTGTGTGTGCCTGGTGCCCACAGAGGCCAGAAGAGGGTGCCAGAGTTACAGACAGAGCAACCGTGTGGGTACTGGAAACAGAATTCAGGTGCTCTGCAAGAGCAGCCAGTGCTCTTAGCCACTGAGCCACATCCCCAGTCCCAAGACTAAGTAATTTGTAAATGAAAAAAACTCACTAGTTCCTTATGATGAAAGATAGGAGTTCCATGGATGGCCGTATCTGGCAAAGACCCCATGCTACCAATGCTGTGGGAAGACAGACTGCAAGCCAGCAGGAGAGCTAGGGGGTTGAGCTCAACCTACAACAACTTTTCATTAAAAAGAGATTTGCATGTGTGTCTCTGCAGTGCATATGTGTGCATGTGCATTCATATATGTGTGGGTGCACCAGAAGTACATGCCAGAGGTCTTCCTCGGTCACTTTTCATGTAACATATTGAGGCAGGGGATTGATCTGAGGATTTCCTGTCTCTGCCTCCTGAGTGCTGGGATTACAGGTGGGCAGACAAACCCACTGTCTTAGTTAGGGTTACTGTTGCTGTGATGAAACCCTATGACCAAAGCCACCTGGGGAGGAAAGGGTTTATTTGGCTTACGCTTCCACATCCACAGTCTGTCACTGAAAGAAACCAGAAAAGGAACTCAAACAGGGCAGGAACATGGAGGCAGAAGCTGTTGCAGAGACCATGGAGGGTGTTGCTTGCTGGCTTGCTCCTCATGGCTTGCTCAGCCTGCTTTCTTATAGAACCCAGGACCACCTGCCCAGGGATGGCCCCACCCACAATGGGCAGTCCCTCCCACATCAGTCACTAATTAGGAAAATACCCTATACATCTTACGGAGGCATCTTCTCAATCAAGGTTCTCTTCTTTCAGATAACATAGCTTGTGTCAGCACACCCACCCTGCATTCACATAGGTGCCATAGGTGCCAGGGATCAGGGTGCCAAGGTTTTGTGGGAAATGCTTTGCCTGCTGAAGCAAACCCCTTTGTGTTTTTTATTTTTTTAATTTAAATTAGAAACAAGCTTATTTCACATGTTAATCCCAGCTCCCTCTCCCTTCCCTCCTCCCCCGCCCTCCACCAACCCTCCCAATCCCCCCACCCCATCCCATCCCCCCTCTGCTCCCGAGGGAGGGTGAGGCTCTCCATGGGGGGTCATCCAGGGCAGGCAACCCCCTTTAGATTTCTTTGTTTTATTTAATGTCTATGAGGGTTTTGTTTGCATGCATGCATGTCTGCATAACATACGATGCCTGGTGCCTTCAGAAGCCAGAAGAAGGCATGAACACAGGTCCTTTGGAAGAGCAGCCAGTGTTTTTTTTTTTTTTTTTTTTTTTGAGACAGGGTTTTTCTGTGTAGCTTTGGAGCCTATCCTGTAGACCAGGCTGGCCTCGAACTCACAGAGATCCGCCTGCCTCTGGGATTAAAGGCGTGGGTCACCAATGCCAGTATTCTTAACCGCTGCGTCATCTCTCTTAATGTAGCCCACATTAGCCTCAAATACAAGATTCTTCTGCTTTTACTTCCAAAGTGCTAGTATTACAGACCTGAACCACCATGCTTGGCCTCTACCCACACTTGTAAGTAAATTACAGTGTTGAGAAAGGCATTAATCCCTCTGACCTAATCCCCTCTTAAAGGTCCCATCACTTCTCAACCTGGGGACCAGATTTCACCATGAGTTTGAGAAGGGACAAGCTGCATTAGAATCCCAGCAGGTGATGCCATACAATTAGATTCCTGTGACAAATTTGATGGGCCTCTTCCTTCCTTCCTTCCTCCCTCCCTCCCTCCCTCCCTCTCTCCCTCCCTCCCTCCCTCCCTCCTGTCTGCCTCCCCCTTTTCTCTCTCCCTCCCTCATCTATCTACCTGAGACTTGGAAAGAAGCTGCAGATATCAGGGCACACACACCCACAGAGTTTATCAATGCTGTGTCAGGATCCTTGGGAGAGAATTTTTGGTAGAGCCAAGGGTTGGTATTACCCAGTGTCCAGGGTCCTGCACCTTGCGCTCAATCTCTTAGGGCGCTGTGGGAGACACAGAATAATTCTGTTCTGTTCTCCAAGCACATGTGTGATCTCATCCGTGCTGAGCTAGACAACTAGGGGATGTACATCCTGGCCCTGGGTGATCCAGGCTCTCATTGGCTGGGTTGTGGGTGTGCAGCCTGGAGGAGTGCTGGGGTGGCTCTTTGGAAGCAGGCCAGGGCTGAGTGGCAGCTCACAGGTTTAGTTTAGCTGAAATCTGAATGTCTGCCACAGCAGCTTGGTGCCCCTTAGCTTCTTGATCTGCTGCCTCTTCTTTCTTGCGTTCTCATTTGCAGGACAGACTCTTTAGTTGGGAAGGAGAGATTCAGTCTGGATTGATGTGCATTTATGCAGCACCTGCTGTGTCCCTGGGTCTGAGCTGGGTACAGCCACAGGTCTTGAAGAGCAAGAGGTCTGCTCTTGCCTTTTAGTCATTCTGGGGAGTTGCTTAGTTTAAGTGGGATGAGCTTCAGACTTACACGTCTGCACAGTGTGTCACCTTGAATAGGTGAGACCCCACCCTCACCCCTCTGAGCCTTGATTTGCTCGTCTGGAAATGGGCTGATATGGGGATTTGATGAGCTCAAGTGGACCTGCCCTAGAACAGAGGGGCCTGGAGAACAGGAGCCAGCAGGTGGTGTTAATGTGAGCTGTGAGCTCTCCCTCTTTGCCTTGTGTGTTCTGAAGTCCTCCCTGCTTTCAGCACATTTTAATCCCCACAGTGACCCTTCTCCTGCTTACAGAGGAGGAAGCAGTGAAAAGAGGTGATTTGCCCAGGGTCATACTGCAATCACATGGCACCAGCAACTCTAGACTCTAACCACTGTACGACACAGCCACCCTGCTGCAGGGAGGGAAACTGCTATCAGCCTGGGGACTGTGCATGTTTACCCGGTGTTCACTGAGGGAACTGGCGCCCTGCTGTGTGCTGCTGATGGGCAGAGTCTTTTTGCTCCAGACAGCTCAAGAGGCAAGCACCAATAGAATCAGCTCTTAAACAGGAGAGTGCTGGGATACAGCCGGAGGTGGGGCTTGGGGGGGCTCAGTTCCTAGTGTTGTCTGAGCCCCTGTTTTCTCTGCTTCTAACCTGTAGGGTACAAACATCAGCCCAGTGGGCTGCCGGGGTTTTCTGAGCATGCCACACGAGCCCGTTCTGGGTCACAGAAGATGCTCTGTAGACTGAGGACTCTGGCCTTTCCCGCCTCCAGCAGCTGGGCTTGGAAGGCGCCAGGTCCCACAACCTGGAGAGTGTGGAGGGCATGGAGGGAACGCTGACCCCTTCCTTCCCAGCTTCCATTCACGTTTCCCTTCTCGCCTCTGTGCTGGCTGGGCCCCAGGGCTGCTTCTGCCCACCCCTCATGTATCTCTGCTTCCCTCTGCCCTTCCTCCTCCTCTCCCATCTGAGCCCCTCCCACCCCTGGCATAGTCACGTGGGGGCAACCCCGGATTTAAACTTAATCTGCTGGGCGCTCAGCCCAGCACCCTGGCGTTGTGTGTTAGTGCGTTGGTGCCTAGCTGATCTGATCTTGATACTTTGGGGAGGGGGGCTGTGGGGTACCCACAGACCCCCCTCCAGGAACCTAGGGCTGGCAGAATCCCTGCAGCCCCAGCTGGCATTGGAGATCGTGATCCAGGTGGGTCCTGAGTGCTGTGTCTACCCTGTCAAGGGAGGGCGGAGCAGGGTAAATGACCTAATAGGAGCAGTGAAAGGTGGGTGAGCTGAGGGAGGTGTGGGGTTGGTATACAGGGGCAGCAGTTTGCAGCTTCTGGGCTACACTGGCCAACTGCTAAACTCCCTAATCCTAGTGCACAGTAGTGGGGGAGGGGCCCCTCATGGACTTCAGGGATTACTGGCCTCTGCCTCAGCAAAATCCTCCTTACCTATGGCGGGAGCTGGACTGGAGCCCCCAGCATCCTGTGCTGCCTCCAGTGTGGTGCCTGAGTTACTGTGGCCTTGGTTTAAGCCCTCAGGTCCTGCCTAGAGCACACACAGTCAGATCTAGGAGAGACCCCTAGCAGGAGCTCTTTGCAATTTACCCTTCCTTCAGGCATCAACTTCACCTGAGTTCTCTAGGACTTGGGCCACAGGTCTCGCTCAAATGCTCTCCTCCCACAGACACTGGAGAGCCGTGTCCTGACACCAGACCAAGAGAAGAGCCTGAGCGTGCACAGCCCAGCCCAGGACTCCCAGGGTGCCAGCCTGCCGGTCTGTCTCAGGCAGATCATCACCCGAAACCTCTCTCAGCCTGAGAGCCCAGGTGCCACCTCCCTACCTGTCCAGGGTCCCTTCTTCCCACTTTTCTTCTCAGCTGCAATAGAAGATGCAGATAGTGCTGTGTGTGTGTGTGTGTGATGTGCACACGTGTGCAGACATGTTTCCTATGAGCTAAGGACATTGAAGGACGACACTGGGTTGCTGCACCGATTCCGTTACAGCAGGGTCTCTCACTCAACCTGGAGCCAGGCTGGCAGCCACCAGGTCCTGCTGCCGATTCTCCTGTCTCTTCCCTGTGTAGCTCTTGATTACAGGTGCCTGAGGGGCTACACCCAGCTTTGTGCATGCGTGCTGGGGTTTGAACTTAGAGAATCTTGTGTAGCAAGTGCTCTTATGCACAGAGCCGGGTCCCTAGCCCTGCCTCTACTGATTGAAAACACACAGGGAGATAGGCACAGCTCTGTGATTAATGAATCTGCTCCACTGAGGAGGAAATGGAGACTGAGATGCGGTTTGCCCAAACCTATTTTATTTATTCCCCATGTGGCACCGCTAGAGGAGAAGGCAGGGCTCACTCCCTACTCACCGCTTCAGGTCTGAACACCAAATACTGCGCTTCCTACGGCGATGGTGTGAGCTGTCTGAGGCTGAGATTACACAGAGAGGCAGCTCCGTTTCAGACCAGGCTCCTGCCAAGGCCTGATGGCTTGTGCACAGAAGCTGATGGCTGCAGTTGCTCCTGGTGTGTGGCATGCATGGCCTGAGCTGCAGCCTGCCTGCGTGCCTGCTTAGTTGGTGGTGTGGAGTGCTGGCAGCTGCTCTGCTGGTGTCTTTTCAGCGATTCAGATCGCAGATCAGGGCTGGGCGGTCTTTTTGAGTGGGTCAGGGATGCTGAGTGTCCCCAGAATTGGGGATACTTAATGAACCACCCCCAAGACCTACACTGTGTATTCATGTTCTTCAAGGTGAAAGTAGAGCCAGCTAGAGTGGGCTCCTCTTCTGGCCTTTACTCTCTCGTTACTTTTCACAAGCTACTGTCTTAAATCCTGGTTATGAGAGAACTGGGCATGATGGTGCTTGTCTAAAATCTCAGCACTCGAGGTGCGGAGGGAGAGGATCATGGGTTCCACGCCAGCCTAGGCTACACAGGGTACCTTACCTAAAAACAAAACAAAGAAACAAGCCTGGTGGTGGTGGTGGGCACGTTTAATCCCAGCACTTGGGAGGCAGAGGCAGGCAGGTCTCTGAGCTCGAGGCCAACCTAGTCTGCAGAGTGAGTTCCAGGACAGCCAGGACTGTTTCTCAGAGAAACCCTCTTCCACTGCTCCCCCCCCAAATCCACAAGGAAACAAAGCCACATTATGAGAAGCCCTGGATTTGACCACTTTCCTGGCATGGTCTGATTACTGTTCCACCCATTTAACAGATGAGTAAAATTGAGGCTCTGGTGGGTAGGTATAGAAAGACATTCTCTTGACTCCTAGCTAGAGCCTCCCCGCTGCATGTTCTGAGGATGTGTCCACACAGACTGTAGTTGTTTCTACACATCTCTAGCTCTTGACCCCTCTTGCCAGCCTTTCTGTCCCTCCTCAGCTCTCTTGTCCCCCAGGAGCTGCAGCCACACACCCAGGGTCCTCCCAGGGCCCAGGCCTATCATCCTGTCCAGGAATGCGTAGAACTCCTGTTTGGGTCGGTGCCCTGCTGCACCAGACAGAAATCAACCTTAGCTCCTTGTCCCTTGTCAGCCCCTCTCCAGGTCCCACAGATGGCTTCACTGCTGTCTCTGCAGGAAGAGAACCAGCTACTGCAGCAGGAGCTGTCCCGTGTGGAGGACCTGCTGGCCCAGAGCCGTGCTGAGCGCGATGAGCTTGCCATCAAGTACAATGCCATCAGTGAGAGGGTGGGTGCTGCTGGGCTGGGCTCGGGTGGGGTTAGGCTGGGGTAGGGTGGGGTAGGGTGGGGTAGGGGTGTCCTGACCAGACCACCTGACTGTGTAAGGATGGGTACTTGATTCAGACTGCAGCTGCAGCTGGCATGGCCTGGAGCTCATGGTGACCCTGGGGAGTTGAGGGTGGCAGAAGGTTGAGGAGATTGGGAGAAGGATGGATGTGCGTGCAGATGGGTGAGGATAATGGCTGTAATCGTAGCTACCATTGGCCAAGCATGGTGGCGCACGCCTTTAATCCCAGTGCTCGGGAGGCAGAGACAGGCAAGTCTCTGAGGCTAGCCTGGACTACAGAGTGAGTGCCAGGGCTATACAGAGAAACCCTGTCTCGAAAAACAACGAAACAAAACTAAACAAAAAAGGTACCTAACATTTATGGAGTGCCTACTATGTGCCAGAAATATACTGAGTCCTTTATATTTAATGTACCAAGGTTTGTACCATTATAATACCCATTTAACCAAGGAGAAAATAGAGGCCCAGAGAACGAAAGCACCATGCCTGGTGCCACATAGCCAGTTAAGATAAGAAGCCTGGTGTCCTGGTCCCCAGGCCAGGACTATGTGTTGCCTTCGTTTTGGGGGTGTGCAGAGATCCTGCTGGCTCCTGTAGCATCCACTGTGTGCTAGTGGGAAGCCCTGTCTGTGTGGAGTCCCGTGTATTGTCTTGCGTGTGTTTCTGTGCACCGTCTGGTTGTGGAGTGTGTCCTGGTACTGCCTGCTCAAACAAGCCTCTGACTTGTTGGGGCTTGCCAAGGAGCAGAATGAGGGGACACTACGGAATTAATTTCTTGTAGTCTGCAGAAGGTGCAGAGATAGGGTGTCAGGAGTACTGTTGATGGGCCAGCATCAGCCTCCTGCTGGTTAGACCCTTCCTGGCCCAGGGCATAGGGCCAGTCCCCTGGGGACTGACTCAGGTGCCAGCTTCAGCAACTGAAGCTTACACTGCCCCCTGATTGACAAGGAAGGGAAGGAGAGGTGGGGGGTGGCAGGTCCCTTCTCTTCTGGGACATAGCTGCTGGAGTGTCTGCAGTGGGAGCTGAGGGCTGTGTCCATCTAGACCTTCCCCTCATATATTGGCACAAATTGCCTGGATTTTTTAATTGCTCTGTGTCTGAGAGAGTATGAGTAAGACCCCACCTGGAGGCAGGGACTGGGTGAAAATGATCTCGAAGGCCTTTCCTGGAGGGGGAGGGTCCATAGAGAGCATAAGAACCCAGCAATCACCTTCTTATAGATGGAGAAACTGAGGTCTACAGAGGAGCATTCCAGGCCCAAGGTCAGTGGGGAAGTTGGTCAGGAACCACAGTGGTCCAGGGCTATGGTTTATGGCATATTCCCTGATACTCGCTTCAACCTGTGCCTGCAGGTAGCAGCTGCCCTGTGGACACACTGGCATGGGGGACTAGGTTGGGGGCAGTTAGTGACGTTGTTCTCATCCTTCAAACCCCACATTCCCCTGGGATAGAGAGTGGAGCAAGAGGCGGGATTCATGCTCTGCTCATTGGATGTCCTGTGGAGAAACTGAGGCAGGACTCCCAGAGGCCACCCCCAAGTCATAATGTACCACAGTGTCCTCCAAGAAACAGGTGTAGGGCGAGGCAGGTGGGAAAGAGGCAGTGGCCTTATCCCTTGGCTCTAGAGAACAGATTCCCTGGGTTCCCCTCAGTGTCCATGGCAACCTGGGCTTAGTGAGTTTAATGGGCAGGAGAGCAGCAGTTGCTAAGGGAGACAGTAAACTACTTTCATCCATTCTGTGGCAGCCTCCTTTCCATTGGAATTGCAAGTCACATTGAAAGACTGTTTTGTAAAGGGCAGAGGTTATGGAGAAAGGTGAGGTATGGCCTGCAGTAGCATGGCACTGAGCCCTGGGGAGATGGGTGAAGTCCCTAGTGATTGGCCAAAACCTCCACACCACAGAAACCAATAGCACTGGGGTCACGCAGACGTGCAAAGCACACGCAGTGCAGGCCACAGATAGGCTCCCCATAGAACACAACACATAGGAACAAACCCACCCTGTGGCTACACTCAGACTCACAGACACCACACAGCCCTGCCCTGGCACAGAGGGACACCCGGGTGAGCAATCGTAGCACCTCTGCATACAGTAACCAACGTACACACATGGTAACACACACACACACACACACATACAGTAACCAATGTACACACATGGTAACACACACACATACAGTAACCAATGTACACACATGGTAACACACACACACACATACAGTAACCAATGTACACACATGGTAACACACACACACATACAGTAACCAATGTACACACATGGTAACACACACACATACAGTAACCAATGTACACACATGGTAACACACACACATACAGTAACCAATGTACACACATGGTAACACACACACATACAGTAACCAATGTACACACATGGTAACACACACACACATACAGTAACCAATGTACACACATGGTAACACACACACACATACAGTAACCAACATACACACATGGTAACACACACACACATACACATACAGTAACCAATGTACACACATGGTAAAACACACACACATACAGTAACCAACGTACACACATGGTAACACACACATACAGTAACCAACATACACACATGGTAACACACACACACACATACAGTAACCAACATACACATATGGTAACACACACACACATAAGGTAACCAACACATATACATGGTAACACACACACACATACAGTAACCAACATACACACATGGTAACACACACACACATACAGTAACCAATGTACACACATGGTAACACACACACATACAGTAACCAACATACACACATGGTAACACACACACATACAGTAACCAACATACACACATGGTAACACACACGCACATACAGTAACCAACATACACACATGGTAACACACACACACATACAGTAACCAACATACACACATGGTAACACACACACATACAGTAACCAATGTACACACATGGTAACACACACACATACAGTAACCAATGTACACACATGGTAACACACACACATACAGTAACCAATGTACACACATGGTAACACACACACATACAGTAACCAATGTACACACATGGTAACACACACACATACAGTAACCAACATACACACATGGTAACATACACACATACAGTAACCAACATACACACATGGTAACACACACACACACATACAGTAATCAACACATACACATGGTAACACACACACACACATACAGTAACCAACCGCACAGTGCACTCTGTACATCTCCTGGCTGCACACAGACAGCAGAAGGACAGAAGGCAGCAAGAGCCATCTGTCAGTCCGCAAGGCACTCCCATAAGTGCAGTCACTACCATCACCTGTGACCCAGGGAACACAGACTCTTCCTCAGGTCCTCAATTCGCATCATGCCCACGCCTCCCTGGGATACACAGACACACAAGCACGTGTCCTGGTACCTGCAGATGGACATCATGCCTGCACCGCCCCATAGACCACTCAGATGCGCCTCTCCCTGCAGCATGAAAAGGCCCTGGCACCAGATGTCAGCATCCAACCACCCAGGGCCCCGTGGGAAGACATGGCTAGGCACACCCCACTCTCGTGAGGCCTACTCACTGATACACGATACACACACATCTCAGGGCTATGTGACAGAGATGGGCACTGTCCACTTCTGTACCTTCTTGGACCTTATGCAGCCATTTGGCACGGACTCAGAGAAAATGCTTATTGCCACCTCCCTTAGCAACCTTAGCCTGTGTTCTTCACCTCACAGTACTGCCCCCAAGTGGCTGTGCTGACTCCTTGTTGGTGTCATCCCGATTGGCAAGCACAGTCACCTTACCCACCAGCATTGCTGAGAGTGGCTGTCAGAGCATCTACCAGGTACACCGGGCTAGTGCAGGCCTGGACAGCCACTGACCTTGCCTGGACTCCAGGTTAGAGTGAGTAAGAAAAGCCTCCCCTCCTGGTGGCTTCCCTGTGACTTATGGCCCCACCCTTGTGTGTTTGAGGGCCCTGCTGGTCAGCCTGGGTACTTGGGAGATGGATGGTACGTGTGGGTTGGCATCAGTCAGCTAGGCTGGGGATCACCCATTGGTTGTCCTTAATCTCGTGTGTTCATGACCATCATGGTCATCATGCTCATCTTCAGTCCTTCCTCCCTCAACCACTTTCCCTGACAGCCAGAAGCCGAGGGACCCCCGGGAAGAGTAGCCAGGACTGCCAGGCACCTGAACAGGGTCGAGAGGGCCGGTAGACATGCCTCCTCTGTGTTCTAAGGGGTCTAAGGGTGGAACTGGACAGGGGAGGGTCCCTGAGGTGAGAGAGGCGGGGGTCCAGGGGCAAAGCAGGGCTAGATGACGCAATACAGATCTTAAGGCCGTGTGTTTACTGTGCTCATGTGTCACTCTAGGACCTCTGAGACTGCCTTTGTGCATTTGTGTCTCTCTGTAAGCTTGGGTCTGCATATCGACCTCTGCCCTGAATAGATTCACTGTGCACTCGCATTGTTAGTTCACTGGTCTCAAATACTCCCTGGGTATGAGCCAAGCCACCCCACAGCCAATGCCCTAGGTATTCAAATCCAATGGAGAACAAAAATCCAGGCTTTCGCTGGGCATTGGTGGTGCACGCCTTTAATCCCAGCATTCGGGAGGCAGAGGCAGGCTGAGTTCAAGACCAGCTTGGTCTACCGAGTGAGTTCCAGGACAGGCTCCAGAACAATACAGAGAAACCCTGTCTCAAAAAAAACAAAACAACAACAAAATCCAGGCTTTCTGAGCTTGCCTTGGGGAAGGAAGAGGGCTGCGGACACATGGCAGCAGACTGAAGCGTAAACAAACGTGGGGTGGACTCTGTTCTGAAGGCGTGGCAGAGAATGCACGGGGGGCATTCACAGTGCCCCCGGGGTGTCTGTTTGCAGACGTGGTGATAGGTGTACCTGCACGTGTACATGCCTGTCTCTTCTGTGTGCCTATTCTTGCCTATATGTGTGCCCCCCCAAATATATTCCCATGTTTGCATTGTGTGCCTGGGCCTGTCCTGTGCATCCAAGTATGCAACATCTGTGTGCCATCCCCACCCCACATATTCCTAGGCATTGTGTGCCTGGGTCTGTCCTATATATCCAGCATGTTCCATCTGTGTGCCTACTCCTGCCCTGTATGGCCAAGTATGTTCCATCTGTGTGCCCATTCACACCCCACATATATTCCTAGGCATTGTGTGCCTGTGTCTGTCCTATATATCCAGTGTGTTCCATCTGTGTGCCTATGTCCACTCCACATATATTCCCAGGCATAGCATGTCTGTGCCTGTCCTGTGTATCCAAGCATGTCCCATCTGTGTGCCCATTCCTGCTCTGTGTGTCTAACCATGTCCCATCTGTGCTCACACCAACTCATGCCTGTCCTGTGTGTCCAAACATGTCCCATCTGTGTGCCCATTCCTGCTCTGTGTGTCTAACCATGTCCCATCTGTGTGCCATGCTCGGTATGCCTACGCATTGCCCGTCTGTACGTGTCCATGCCTGCTCCATCTGTATGCTCATGTATCGTACACATGTACACTGCATCCTGGGCCTACCTGCCTATGACTGCTCCTTGGAGTGCTATCAGCTTGCATGGCACTGTGGGTCTGAGCCCAGACTGGTGTCTCCTGAAGTTGACCTGGACCTGCTTGAAGCACAGGACTCTTACCCAGTCCCTTCCCTGCAGCTGGAGCAGGCTGTGCGTCTGGAGGCTGGGGAGCTGGAGGCACAGGAGTCCAAGGGGCTGGTGCGGCAGAGCGTGGAGCTGCGGAGGCAGCTGCAGGAGGAGCAGGCCTCCTACCGGCGCAAGCTGCAGGCCTACCAGGAGGGCCAGCAGCGGCAAGCCCAGCTAGTGCAGCGGCTGCAGGCCAAGGTCAGGGCTGCCCACCCCCAACCCTGCCCCCCTGTGCTTCTGTGGGCCCTCACTCCTGGGCTCACACCGCTTCCTGCACATTGCCAGATCCTGCAGTACAAGAAACAATGCTCCGAGCTGGAGAAGCAGCTGCTGGAGAAGTCCGAGGAGCTGGAGCAGCAGCGCCTGAGGGTGGGTGCCAGGGTGGGGGCAGACACAGGTCTCCCTCCTCCTGCCTGTCCTGACTCCTCTCTTCCTCACCTAGGACACAGAACACAGTCAGGACCTGGACAGCGCCCTCCTGCGCCTGGAGGAGGAGCAGCAGAGGTGAGGGTGTGGCACAGGCAGCATGCAGCCTCCTGGACAGGTGAGCAAGTACCCACTGCTCCCCCGCTCTGCCTCTCACAGAAGTGCCAGCCTGGCCCAGGTGAATGTCATGCTGAGAGAGCAGCTGGATCAGGCAAACGAGGCCAACCAGACTCTGAGCGAGGACATTCGCAAGGTGACCAATGACTGGACCCGCAGCTGCAAGGAGCTGGACCAGAGAGAGGCAGCATGGAGGCGCGAGGAAGAGGTAAGTGGGATAGCCTGACAGGGGGGACCTTGCAAAGGGCTGGCTGGATCAGGTCTTGAGAGGGACAGGGACCCTGCCCATGTGAGCACAGTACTAGTGGTCACGGTCAAGGGAGAGCTGGCCTTGGTTACACAAGCCCCGGGTGAGTCACTGGGGTAAGTGACCAGCCCATGGCCACGGTCACACCCTGCTAGCTGGGAGGCCAATCCAGGTCCCTTAGGCCCTTCCTTAGGCCATGCTGGTGGGGCAGGGATGCAGCAGTGTCCCCAGGGCCTTGTGTCTGTCTCCACAGTCCTTCAATGCCTACTTCAGCAGAGAGCACAGCCGACTGCTCCTCCTTTGGAGGCAGGTCATGGGGCTCCGACGGCTGGTCAGCGAGCTGAAGATGGGCACAGAGAGGTGAGGCCTGGCTGCTGGGGAGCATGGGGTACATCCTTCCATGGGCTGCCTCTGGGGTGTGGAGGCAGCTTGCAGGGAGAGAGGCAGTCAGCTATGCTGGGGCCCAGTGAACTACCTTTGATATTTAATCTAGCTTTCAATGCTCCTCTGAGGCAGGAATTGTCCTACTTGCCATTTCATACCAGAGATCAGAGAGGTTGAATGGCCTTCTCAGATCACACAGCAGAGAGGAGCTGTGTGGTTGGACTTCCCTTTGAGCCACCATTCACAAATAATGACCCAGAGACTTATAATTAATTATGAAACCTTAGCTTAGGCTCATCCCACTAACTCTTATACCTTAAATTAACCTGTGTCTATTAACCTACATCCTACTGTGTGGCTCAGTTACCTCTCCTCTATACTGTTTGCCCACCTTCTTTGGGTTACCTCACTCAGGATGGCTTTTTCCAGTTCCATGTTTGCCTACAGATTTCATGGTGCCTTTGTTTTTTACTGCTGAGTAGTACTCCATTGTGTAAATGTACTACATTTTCATTATCCATTCTTCGGTTGAGGGACATATAGGTTGATTCCAGGTTCTGGCTATTATGAATGATGCTACTATGAACATAGTGAGCAAATGTCCTTGTGGTGTGAGTGTGCATGCATTGGGTACATGCCCCAGAATGCTGGGTCTTGAGGTAGATTGATTCCCAATTTTCTTTTTTGGTTTTTCGAGGCAGGGTTTCACTGTGGTTTTGGAGGCTGTCCTGGAACTAGCTCTTGTAGACCAGGCTGGTCTCGAACTCACAGAGATCTGCCTGCCTCTGCCTCCCAAGTGCTGGGATTAAAGGTGTGCACCACCACCACCCGGCGATTCCCAATTTTCTGATTAACTGCCATACTGATTTCCAAAGTGATTGTATAAGTTTGCACTCCCACCAGCAGTGGAGGAGTGTTCCCCTTACTCCACATCCTCTCCAGCATAAGCTGTCATCAGTGATCTTGACCATTTTGACAAGTGTAAGATGGTATCTCAGAGTTGTTTTGATTTGCATTTCTCTGATGACTAAGGATGTTGAGCATTTCCTTAAGTCTCTTTCTACCATTTGAGATTCCTCTGTTGAGAGTTCACTTTTTAGATCTATACACATTTTTTATTGGATTATTTGGTCTTTTGATGTCTGATTTCTTGAATTCTTTGTCTATTTTGGAGATCAGTCCTCTGTCAGATGTGGGGTTAGTGAAAATCTTTTCCCATTCTGTAAAGAGCCGTTTTGTCTTGTTGACCTGACCATATCCTTTGCTTTATAGAGGCTTCTCAGTTTCAGGAGGTCCCATTTGTAAATTGTTGCTCTCAGTGTCTGTGTTTCTGGTGTTATATATAGGAAGTGGTCTCCCTGTGTTCAAGGCTACTTCCCACTTTCTCTTCTATGAGGTTCAGTGTGGTTGGCTTTATGTTGAGGTCTTTGATACATTTGGACTTGAATTTCAGTTTCCCTTTCTGTCTTTAGAGTTTGTTTGAGTCAGGAGCCATAGATACTCAAAAAATGTGATTCTTTTATTATGTTTTTGGAGACAACATCTCACAATGCAACTCATGTTTGCATGATTCTGCACAGATCTGTGGCTAGAGCTGCAGATTGCTGTTTCCTTGGCAAGACTTGGACTCCAGCAGTGTACAGTGTTCTCTCACGGGAGGCCCCTTGGCCAGGGGCAGGTATCTGTAGCCCGTGACGGTATTTCTGACTCAATGCCAGGATAAAACTGCATCAGTAGTAGTGTTTGAAACTATGCTTGACCTACTGTGTGTTAGCTAGAATTCTGTGAGACCCCCCCCCGGCCCCCCCCCGCTCAGTACTGCAGTTCATGCAGGGAGTGAGTAAGCCCACGGTGGGGCTTTAAAGTGGGTCTTACTTTTAATTAGCATGGAAACGTTTTTTTTGTTTCTGTTTTTGAGAAAGGATCTAACAGGCTGGTCTCAAATTCACAGAGAATTTGCCTTCTGCCTCTGCCTCCCGAATTCTGGGATGAAAGGTGTATGCCACTATTTGGGGGTGTGGGTCAGCAGTGGCGGTGGTGGCTCATGCCTTTAGCCCAGCACTCAGGAAGCAGAGTCTTTTGGGTCATATACTCTGTGTATAATTTCATCTTTGCTTCTCTTCCAGTTTGTTTTTAGTGTGTGTGTGTGTGTGTGTGTGTGTGTGTGTGTGTGTGTGTGTGTACGTGTACATATGTGGGGTCAAGAACAACTATTGGGACCTTCTCCTTCCACCATGTAGGTCCCCAATATTAAACCCAGGTCATTGGACTTGGCAGCAGGTATCTTGACCCTAAGCCATTTCACTCCCCAACACCTGTCAGCCTGGAGTGCTCTCCTCCTGCTTTGTCCTCCTGAGAACTTTTTGTTTGTTTGTTTGTTTTTCGAGACAGGGTTTCTCCATGTAGTTTTGGAGCCTATCTTGGCACTCACTCTGTAAACCAGGCTGGCCTCGAACTCACAGAGATCCACCTGCCTCTGCCTCCCGAGTGCCGGAATTAAAGGCGCGTGCCACCAACGCCCGGCCCTCCTGAGAACTTTTGACGGCAAGCTTATGCTTCCATCCGGCTCAACTTTGCTTTTTATTTTTGTTGTTTGAGACAGGGTTTCTCTGTGTAACAGTCCTGGCTGTCCTGTAACTCCCTCTGTAGACCCTCCTGCCTCTGCCTCCCGAGTGCTGGCACTAAAGGCGCGTGCTACCACCGCCTGGCCAACTTTGCTGTTCTTGAAGAATCCTTCCTGATCTGATCATTTTCCTGGGAGGTGTATGTACACATCAGGAGTAGCTTCCCTACTGGCTTTTCTTGGATGTGGATCCACTGACTGGACCTCCCATCCTTTATAGCAATCTCCCTTTTAATGGGTATTTCAGGTTTCCACACGTGTTGTACTGCCATGAGTCATCTGACATTGCCTTGTGCTGAGCCTATCTGCAGGATGCATTCTTAGGTGCAATGGGTTCATACCTTTCAGGGCTTTTCCTGATTGCCTTCCCATGTGACTCTGCCCACCTTCCCTCCATCAACTGTATAGGGGATGGCCAGTTTTCCCGTAGCCTTACCCATGTTGGTCATAATGTGACTTTGTTTTTGTAATCTGATAGTGACAGATAGTGTCTCAGTGTAGTTTTGATTTGTACTTGGGGGCCACCCCCACACCCCTTATTCTGTTCTGTCTCAGGGATCTACTGCAGCTGGGAGGGGAGCTAGTCCGGACATCCCGGGCTGTCCAGGAGGTGGGCCTGGGACTGAGTGCCAGCCTGCAGCGGGCTGAGAGCCGGGCTGAGGCAGCTCTTGAGAAGCAAACACTGCTGCAGGCCCAACTGGAGGAGCAGCTACGGGCCAAGCTGCTCCAGGAGAAGGACCTGGCCCAGCTGCAGGTGCAGTGTGACCTGGACAAGGCCGACCTTAGTGCCAGGTGAGTGGCAGCAGGCCCATTCGTGGCCAACTCCCCTGCAGAGGGGTCACCTGGAGACTTAGGGGGGGGCTTCCTAGGCACTGTGTTTGAAGTTCAGAGGACTGAGGTCTAGACACACAGCCTCTGTTGACATGTGTGACTGCAACTCCTGCCTCCTGAATGAGTCCCCACCCCTCCCTCATGAGATACAACAAGCTGTCACCTCATTCCCATTGTGCAGCTGAGAAATCAGAGACCCCAGGTGAGAAGTGACTCACTCCAGGTCCCACACCTGGGGAGGTGGGTCCTAGGGTCCTTAGGGTCCTTGTTCAGTTTTGGGAAACAGGACATACGCTGATGAACTTGGGAAGCTGAGGCAGGTCCCCTGTTCACCTCTCTTGCTCCTCCCCCCAGAGTGACCGAGCTGGCCCTGACTGTGGAGCATCTTCAGAACCAGAACTCAGAGAAGGATCAGGCCAACAGGACCCTCTCTGAAAAGTTGGAGGCCCTGGTGAGATGTGGCACTAGCCAGATCCATGGCTGCTGGCTGAGGGCCAGGCTGCTTGGACCATGTTGAATGTCCCATTGAGACTAGGTGCTGCCCTCACAGTGCATGCCAGGGTTAGCGTGGTGACATTCACCTCCTGTGCCCTCCCCCTGGGAGCAAGCCATCACACAGTGGAGGAAACCAAAGCCCTATTCAGTAGGTGGGGAGTCAGGACTTGGACCCCATCTTGGGCTCCTAGGGGAATGCCACTGCCTCCCCGCCGCCCCCAGATGCACTGCCTGGGCTCCACACCGCTTTTGTGGGCAGGGTTTGGGCTGTTCTTCACTAGGTCATGTGACTGGGACAGAGCACTGCACTTTTCTGGGTCTCATCTGTTCAGTGAGGGCAGCTGGCCTGTGGGTCTGGGTGTAACTGCTACTCCAGAGGGACAGGAAGAAGGGACTTCATACTCCAGCAGAACAGTGACCCACCTTTCTTGACACTAGGAGTCTCTGCGACTGCAGGAGCAGGCAGCCCTGGACACTGAGGATGGAGAGGGCCTGCAGCAGACGCTGAGGGACCTAGCACAGGTGTGGTTACTAAAGCCCATACAGGTTTTGTTTTTTTGGTTTTTACGAGACAGGGTTTCTCTGTATTGTTTCGGAGGCTATCGGTCCAGCCCGGCCTCGAACTCACAGACATCCGCCTGCCTCTGCCTCCCGAGTGCTGGGATTAAAGGCATGCGCCACCACTGTCCTGCTCTAAAGCCCATACAGGACCGGCCACACAATTCTGAGCTCCCTGCCACACCCCGCGGGAGCCTTGGGATGAACTGGAAGTGGGCGGGGCCCCTTCACCCTGGCTGCTGTTGACCTCTGCTGGCTCACCCACCCTTGGCCCATGGAGCCCCTGTGAGGACCCTAAAGGACAGTGGACGGTGGCCTTGCCTGAAGGGCTGCACTCTGGCAGAGACAGACTCAGGAAGACTTCTTGGGAGAAGGGGCTTGTGGGAAGTGGTTCTTTGCCTTGCTATGCCTGTGAGCAGCTAACCCCGACTCTCCTGTTCCCCCTCCGCTCAAGGCTGCCCTGTCGGACACAGAGAGTGGTGTCCAGCTCAGTATCTCAGGGCACACCGCGGACACCTCTGATGGCAGCCTACGGGGGCTTTCCGGCCCGCGGACCCCAACCCCACCACGGCACTCCTCCCCGGGTCGAGGCCGTTCTCCGCGCCGAGGCCTGTCCCCAGCCTGTTCTGACTCCTCCACACTCGCGTTAATCCACTCCGCCCTGCACAAACGCCAGCTGCAGGTCCAGGTATAAGTAGCCCTAAGCATTCTGCAGCCAGGGACCCTGGGGGCGGGGCTGGGGTCCCGAGAAACGACTGCCGGTGGAAAGTTCTAGACAGAATCTGAGCCTGGAGTGCCTGGATAGCTGGGAGTGCCTCAGAAAAGGGGCTGGAGCCCTCAGAAAAGGAGATAAAACTTGGGGTCAGGACCCTAAGCCTCCAAGGAAGAATCTGAGCCTAGCACAAGAGGAGCTTGGGAGTCAGGGGCGGGGTTAGGGAAGAAGCGAGGGGGCGGGGCCCGGGCCCTCGTGGGTGGAGCCAGCATCTAGGGGCCTGTACAGCTCGTGGGCGACTTTCCTTGCCTGGCCCGGGGGGCGCTGGTTGGAGTTGCCCAGTTGGCAGGGAGGTGAGAACACGGAAGTGGCAGCGTCCCAGGCATGTCCAATGCCATGGAGCTGTTAGGAGAGAGTGAGTGGGCCCCCCCAGACCCCATCACCCCCATACTCCAGGACATGCGCGGGCGTTATGAAGCCAGCCAAGACCTGCTGGGCACCGTGCGCAAACAGCTCAGTGACAGCGAGGGTGAGCGGCGTGGCCTGGAGGAGCAGCTGCAGCGCCTGCAGGACCAGATAGCGGTCACAACCCAGACCCAAGAGGATGCCCTGCGTGAGGCCCAACGCCTGCGCAGTGCCAACGAGCTCCTGAGCAGGTGCGCCCGGGGCCTAGGGGCTAGCAGGAGGCGTTGGGATTAGCTGACCAGGCCTTTCAGCCAGAGGGCCCCATTCATCCAGGTGAAAAAATTAACAGTTTCCAAGGAAGTAAAAATTCAGTTCTCGTTACTCCAGCACATTTCGGGGGCTCCCCGAAAGGCTACATTGCAAGGGCCTTCATTGGCACATGTGGCGATAGAACATTCTAGAATTTTGCTGTCAGTGCTGTTCTGAACTGTGTCTGGTTGGTTGGATGGATGGATGGATGGATGGATGGATGGATGGATGGATGGATGGATGGATGGATGGTTGCCTCCTGCTGGGAATGAACCCAAGCTGGGAGCATGCCAGGGAAGTACTCACTGGGCTACATCACAGCCAAACTAGAGACAGTTTTTTGTTGTTTATTTGTTGTTATTTGTCTGTTTTAATTTTTTGAAACAGAGCCTTACTATGTAGCCCTGGTTGACTTGGAACTGCTATATATCCTGTGCTGATCTCAAATTTGGGGCAATCCTCCTGTCTCAGTGTCCTAAGGGCTGGATTTGGGAAGTGAGCTACCAGTCCCTGCTTTACTTAGAGACTTTTTTGTTGCTTTTGAGACATGGTTTCACTATGTAGCCTTGGCTGGTATGGAACCCTGTGTAGACCAGACTGGCCTGGAACTCACAGAGATCTGCCTGCCCCTGCCTTTCTAGTGCTGGGATTAAAGGTGTGCCCCACTATGGCCAGCCCTGGCAGAGACTTTTTAAAGGAAGCTATGTGCATGGGGTATGTGCACTTCTAAAAGCCAGAGTTGTCAGCTAGATCCCCGTGGATCTGGACTTTGAGGTGACTGTGAGCCACCCAGGGTGGATGCTGAGAACCGAACTGTTCCTCTGCAAGAGCAGTGTGTGCTCAAGAGAGCGGATTCAGGAATGTCATTTTCTGGTCATCACTAGTGTGCTATGTCACACCCACACCCACACACAAAACAAAAAGATAATTAAAAATATATAAAATTTCTTTGAAAGAGTCACAAGTTATCCTCCCCTTGACTACTTGATAAGTTTTGGATTTTTTTTGTTGGTGCTTTTTCATTTTCTTTTCCTAAATAAAAACAGCAAAACTAAGCTGGGCATTGGTGGCCTTTAGTCCCAGCACTCGGGAGGCAGAGGCAGGAGGATCTCTGTGAGTTCAAGGCCAGCCTGGTCTACAGAATGAGTTCCAGAACAGCTTCCAAAACAATACAGAGAAAATCTGTCTCAAAAAATTAAAAAAACAAAACAAAACAAAAAACAACAAAACAATAGAACAACAAAACTAGACATGGTGGTGCATTCCTCTTTAATACCATCACTTGGGAGGCCGAGCCAGGCAGATCTCTGAGTTTGAGGCCAGCCAGGGAGCTCCAGGACAGTCCCGGTTACATAGTAAAACCTGTCTCAAACAAACAAGTCAGTAAGAAAATCAGGGAGTGGTAGCTCACATCCTAAATCCAGCACTTAGGACACGGAGGCAAAAGGGTTGCCCCAAGTTTGAGGTCAGCACAGGCGATATAGCAGTTCCAAACCAGCCAGGGACACATAGTAAGACCAGCCTGGTTTGCAAAGTGAATTCTAGGACAGCATTCTGTGTAGAAAAAGCAAAAACAGGAACTGGAGAAATTGCTCAGTGGTTAAGAGCAGTGGCTGCTCTTTAAGAAGACCTGGGTTCAATTCCCAGCACCCACATGGCAGCTCACAACTCCCAGATCTGACACTCCCACACAGACATACATGCAGGCAAAATACCAATGCAAATTAAATAAAAAGTTATTAAAACATTTTAATAAAAAAAGAAAAACAAAAACAGAACAGAGAGAAAGAACAGGTGAACTAAAGTGCAGACCCCCAACTCCCACCCCCACCCCGCCAGCCTCGCCTGCTCATCTTAAGTTCTGGTTTTGCCTTCCATAGTCCTGGCAGTATGGAAGCCATGTAGATGTGCATGTGTGCATTTGTATACCTACTGTGTTCCAGGCTGTGTGGCAAGTGCTGTACCCGTGTTACCTCAGGTTTATGTGAATCTGTTAGAGCTGTCGTCATACAGCTGGTGAAAGACTTCCCAGGCTCACGTTCTGACCAAGCTTTTGATTTCTTTCCATGGAAACCCATTTTACATTCTGCTGTCTTAATATCATGCCACAAGCTCTTTTCTGCCTTAACATTTATTATATTTGGGAGTTGCCACTCTGTAGTAAAGACGGGGACAGCCCTTAGCCTGCTCTCCAAACCCCAGCTGACAAGAGAGCCCCCAGCCTCTGTGCAGGACTCCTGGAGCTGGGGGAGATGGCAACTCTCTGCAGTTCTTGGTGTTCCTAGTGGCTTCCTCCTTCTGTGTCACACGCTGCGACACTGTGCAGCGTGTGAAGTTCTGAGACAGATCTGGCTCTGTCTGGCTTGCCAGGAGTGAGGGTTCTAGATGACGGGTGTTTACTGGCCATGCAGCTTCGAACTGGCATCCTAGATGCCTCTGTGTCCTGGGAACCTGGCTCTGGTCTCTCCCACTTGCTGGAGTGCTTGCGGGTAACACCAGCATCTTCTCCCATTCTTGGTCTTGTAGGTATGCAAACTGGGGAGGAGAGCCATTCTCGGTGCTGGATGGTATGTGAGATGAGTCAGCTGTGAGAAGCATCAGGGAACGCTTTCTGGAGGCAGAATCCTGGAGGACAGAGAATGTGCTCAGAGTAGTCAGTCCAGCCACATTCCCTGGTGAGAGCAGCCTCAGAAAAGCCCTCTCCTCTCTTCGCTTGTCCTATAGGGAGAAGAGCAGCCTGGCCCAGAACCTGCAGGTGACGCAGAAGCAGGTTGAGGAGCTGCGCCAGGAGCTGGAAAAGCTGCAGGCTGCCCAGGAGGAGCTGAGGCGTCAGCACACCCAGTTGGAGGATGAGCAAGAGGACACAGTGCAGGAGGGAGCCCGGGCCCGCAGAGAGCTGGAGCGCAGGTGGGCCCCGCGTGCCTAGAGTCCTCCAGTGCACCTCTTGGAATGTGGGCATCGTGTTCTCTAGACTGTTTCCTGCTGTCTGGGGGCAACAACATCTTTAGGGGACCCTGAGAAAACTAAGATGGTGGTCAGTCCTGAGAGACCTTGCTGTTGTCTAGTCTTGGTGTGCTGGGAAAGTATAGGGCTTATCTGAAGTCTGGATGGAGTAGTCTGTGAGGCTGGACCATCTCAGCCAGCATCCTTGAAGCTGCAGCAGAGGCACTCTGAGAGGCTGGACCACCTGGGCCACACACTTTCATTGGTGTCTGGTCCCCTTGCTCTGAAAAAACACAAACTTTCAAAGGTAATATACATATCTATGTTAACACAAGTAAGGACTGTTTGCTGTGCACAGGCCAGTCAAAGATGATTTTTTTTGTTGTTTTATGTTTGAGCAGGTAAAATATATGTCATCTGTCTTGTAGTTTTTCTAAATTTATTTCTTTATGTCTGTAGCCAGAAGTTTCAGGGGGTCTTCTCTGATCAAACCTGATCCTCTTTAATTTTGAATGAATCCATAGCCTTTCGTTTTCTGTGGAAACAAAAGCATAACCTCTTCCCAAGAGCAATATATTTTCTGACTTCCATTTTACAGTTAAGGCATTCCTAAAGTATCTAGGGTGGTTTAATTCAGCAGTCCCTTCTACAATCCAGTGTCTTTCAGCAGCTGTCATTCTCTGTTCATTAGTATTCAAGATACCATATAAGGTCCAAACTCCGTGTGTTATAATATTTTCCATCCTTACATGGCTTTTTTTATATTATTTTACTCTTTTTAAAGACTATTATTTACAAACTATTTTTTTCTATGACTGTCTATACTCATTTTCTTTTCTTTCTTCAGCATCTAAGCACATTTTAAAACACATTGTACCTTTTTATAGGTTTTCTGTGTCTGGACCGGGCTTTACTGATTGTCTGCAGTGTTTTCTGATGGTGTGAGACAAATCTTAAACTGCTGTCAGCTGCAGCTTAGTTTAGTGCATGGTGCTGCTGCATGTCTCCAGCACTCAGGCAGTCTGTATGCTGAGCATACCCAAGAGACTGTTGTCACCAGGAAACTGTTTGATTCCATCTTCCAAACTTTTTTTTTAGCTTTCTCAGGCCTTATATGGCTATACATGGCCGGATGGTGGGTGCTATATGTATACAGACTTTTCTTTTTGGGCCGCCAGTTCACAGAGGAGCTTGAGAGATGGCTCAGCAGTTAAGAGCACTGGCTGCTCTTCCAAAGAACCTGGGTTCAATTCCCAGCACCCACCTGGCAGCTCAAAACTGTCTGTAACTCCACTTCTAGGGGTTCTGACACCCTTATACAGACATACGCACAGGCAAAACATCAATGCACGTGAAATCAAAAAAATTAAAAATGACATGGAGACTTTTAATTATGAAAACTGGCCTTAGCTTAGGCTTGTTTCTAACTAGCTGTTTTTTGTTTGTTTGTTTGTTTTTGTTTTTTGAGATAGGGTTTCTTTGTGTAATGGTTCTGACTGTCTTGGAACTCACTCTGTAGACCAAGCTGGCCTCAGATTGAGAGAGATCCTCCTGCCTCTGCCTCCCAAGTGCTGGGATTAAAGGTGTGCACCACCACCGCCCGGCTTAACCCGTGTTTTAAAATCTACCTTCTTCCCTGTGCTCGTTACCTCATCTCCATCATGCCCGTCCTGGTTCTTCCTCATCTGACTGGCGACTCCACCTCCTTTATCCCAGCTCTCTGTCAGGAAGTCCCTGCTGTACCTCCACTTAGCTTTCTGTAAAACCAACCACACAGTGCAAAGGAGTATTCCACAGCAGTCTTCTGCCCCACAGCCACAGGCAGCTGGAGCAGCTGGAAGTGAAGCGCTCGGGGCTGGCTAAGGAGCTGGTAGAGGTGCGGGAGGCACTGAGCTGCGCCGTACTGCAGAGAGACGTGCTGCAGGCAGAGAAGGCAGAGGTGGCCGAGGCCCTGACCAAGGTGAGTCCTGTCAGCTGCGCAACTCGGGGTTCTTCCCCTGGCCACAGGCTGACCATGTCACTGGACCCTTCCCCTCAATACAGACTGACTTTATTTTATTTGTATTTATTTATTTATTTGTTACTGTGTTTTAAATCTACACCTCCCCGTGTGTGTGTGTGTGTGTGTGTGTGTGTGTGTGTGTGTGGTGGGGTGCAAGTGTGTGCTGTGGGGGTTGTCTGGAAGTCAGGACAGCCTTGGTGTCCAGCCATGCCATCCACCTTATTTATGGCCCATCATTGTGTATACTATACTAGCTGTATTTTGAGCTTCAGGAGACTCTCCTGTCTGCCCCCCCCCCCATCTTGCTGTAGGAATGCTGGAATTATACTTTTTCACTCCTGCATGTAGCTTGTACATGAAGTCTGAGGTTTTAACTCATGTTCTTATGCTTGAGTGGCAAGAGTTTTAACCACTGAGCCATCTCCCTAGCCCCACAGGCTGACTTTTGACCCAGGCCACAGATCCCTGCTTCTTCAGGGGCTCTTGGAACTGGAGCCTGAAGCTCAGGGTTACTTGGTCCTTTCTGTGGAGCTGGGTGCTGGGACTGAGGAAGTTGGGGTCATCGTCCTGAGACTTCCTCAAAAGAGTCTTGTCCCACTTCTGGTGACCTAGGCTTTACATGATTGTCCCTTGGGCTGCACTTGGAGTCTCTTCTGACCACTAGCTCTGCCTTTTGGTCCTTTCTTGGGCAGCTCTAGGGTATGAGGTGTCTTTCAGACAGCGTCCCAGTCTGTGACCTTCTTTGATGGGATTACCTGACTCCTGTCACCCTTTCTCTGTGGCCCTGACCCAGGCTGTAAGGGTCACTTCCCTGGATCTCTCCCTACATATGCTTCCCTGTTCCCACTGCAGGCTGAGGCTGGCCGTGCACAGCTAGAGCTCTCCCTGACCAAGCTGAGGGCAGAGGAGGCTTCCTTGCGAGACTCCCTGTCCAAACTGAGTGCCCTCAATGAGAGTCTTGCCCAGGACAAGCTGGAGCTAAACCGCCTCATGGCCCAGGTATACTGTGTACCAGCCACAAGTCCCCTCCACCAGGGGGACACCACAGAGGCATGCTGGGTCTCCCACAACCGACCTGTCTGTCTTCCTTTACGCATCATAGGAGGATGTCCTGGGGGCCCTGCTCTATTTTGGTGCTTTGTTCTCTGTGTCATGAACATTCTGCCTTCAGCTTAGGGAACCTCCCCTTAACTGTCCGTTTTGGTGATATGTTACTTATGATTTAATAAAGATTGTCTGAAGTATCAGAATGCAAAGCCAGCCACACTAGTTAACTATAGAAGCTAGGTGGAACTCAGGATTAAGAGGTAGACGGATCTCTGTTAGTTCAAGGCCACACTGAGCTAAATGAAATTGATCTAGTCTAAAAGAGAAACAGCTCACAGAAAAGTGATCCCAAGTATTGGGATCACACGTCTCTAATCCCAGAACTAGAGAGGAATATAAGGAAGAAGCAAAGTCAGTGTCAGAGACTTATCCTCCAGCCATGAGGACAGGACAGCCCAGTCAGCCTGAGGCAGAGGGAAGAGCTGGTGGCCGCTGCTTGCTTCTCATCTTCTGCCTGAAGCTTGAGCCCCAGTACCAGTCTCTGGGTCTTTTAGTATTCGTGTTGCAGGCTGTGACCATTGGTGGGAATGGAAGGGGTATCCCTGGTCCTGGGAGGATCCCCTTGCTCGCCCAGACCTTTATCATACCCCACAGCTAGAGGAAGAAAAGGCGGTGCTCCTGGGCCGACAGCAGCAGGCAGAGCATGCCACTGCGTTGGCTCTGGAGGAGCAGGAACGGTTGGAGCAGCTGAGGCTGGAGCAGGAGGTGGAGCGGCAGGGCCTGGAGGGCTCCCTGTGTGCAGCTGAGCAGGCCAGGGAGGCGCTGGAGCAGCAACTCCTTGCATTGCGCAGTGAACGTGGTCATCTGCAGGAGCAGCTGGCCCAGGTGAGCCCCTATGCAGATGTGTGGGTAGGGGCTCCATGCTAGTCTGGGATAAGCCAAAGGCTCAGGCGCTTGCCTTTGGATTCATATGCACCTCACCTCTTCTAGCTAAGAGCCTTAAACAAGCACCATACCCTGCATGCCTCTGTCATCCCATCTGTCTCTGAGGCTGAAAGAGCCTGTCACTTAGAGGATATGTTGACTGAGCCAGCCTTGGTGAAGATCTGTCATATGAAGAAAGTAGAGATTCGGGGAACCGGAGCCACACGGCTGGGAGGCAGCTTAGGGTTCCAGGGCTCCAGGACCTGTAATGCAGCCTGTGTCCGTCCTGGGGTCCAGGGTTCCTGTGAGGAAGGTGCAGCGCCAGCTCCTCCCTGCAGCCTGCACAGCTGCTTGCCTTGCTGTATTCAGCTTCTAAAGACAGTTTTGGGAGCAGGGCGGAGTGAGTGACTAGGGCCCTCGTTTTTTACACATGTGTGCCTTTGCAGATGTAGGAAAGGCTAGGGTTTGCCTGGGCACATACAGCATACCAGTATAGAGTCTGGGCTCAACCCTTAGCCTCCTGCTGCCAGGCCAGGGCTGGACTAGACCCTCGCATTAGAGTGCTGCATAGTGAACCAGCCAGGGTTTTCTGCTCACAATCCTTGGGTCGGCCAGCTCTCCCGGCAGCTGAATGGACGGGACCAGGAGCTGGAGCAGGCCCTGCGGGAGTCACAGCGGCAGGTGGAGGCACTGGAGCGCACCGCCCGGGAGAAGGAGGCTCTGGCCAAGGAGCGGGCCGGCCTGGCTGTGCAGCTGGCAGCAGCAGAGCGTGAGGGTCGGACCCTGTCGGAGGAGTCTATTCGCCTACGGTAAGCTGTGGGCTTTGCCCAAATCCTGGCAGGGGTGTCCCTGGGGCCACTTCCTGGCCAGCCATGCCCTGGGGTTAACCCAGAAGAGCAGTTACTTAGGAGCCACGCTTACTAACACAGTCTAGCTCAGATGCAGCCTTCCTTGGGGAGCCTGGGTCTAGCTGGGAAGGTAGGCTGGCATTTTGGCCCATATTGGTCACACCCTGAGGCCCAGGAGATGGGAGAGGCTGAGTCCCAAGGCCTCAGAACTGTGTGCTGCAGCCTGGAGAAGGAAGCCCTGGAGAGCAGCCTGTTTGACGTGCAGAGGCAGCTGGCTCAGCTTGAGGCCCGCCGGGAGCAGTTAGAAGCTGACAGTCAAACCCTGCTGCTGGCCAAGGAAACTCTGACAGGTATGAGGGTTTGGGTCCTGGGGAATAGCCAGGCTCCATACCAGACTTCAGCTGTGGGCACTGGAGTTTCGAAGAGGTTAGGAGCTCTAGGTGAGGTGTGTGGCACACCTGGGCTCCTGTCCTGAGCTGTCACATGGTTTGTTGAACAAGCCCTTCCCTTTCTTGGCTGTAGTTTCCTCTGACGTCAGAGGTAGAGGGAATGCCCACTGCCTAGCCTGTTGCCAGGATGAGGTTGAAGGAGCCTGTGAAGGCCTTGGCAGAGTGCCTGACTCAGCCAACTGTGGCTGCTGTTTTTCGTCATCAGGGAGGCTGGAGAGTTGTAAGGTCCCTATAGAACCATCCGCTGCTTCCATGAATCAGCCCCATGGGCCCAGCCCACGGTCCCCACGTGCTCCCTCCCCACTCTGAATCCAGTCCTTGTAGCTCAGCAAAGGTAAAGAAAGCTCAGCAGGCTAAGCCCTGCTTGGGTCACGGAAATTGACTTTCCTGAGTCAGACAGACCCGGGGATGCCGCTGGCCTTCTCACCTGGGCAGTGCTCTTACTGTCCAGGTGGGACACTGTGGCCCTCAGTGAGGGGCTGGCATTGTCACTAATAGAGACACTCACAAGATAGGCAGGTTTGAGCGGTCACTGGTGTTGGAGTATCATCTTTGGCAACAAGGCACGTCATTTAAATGCTGTGACATACTGGGATGTGTGGAGGGGACCCAGCAAACATGTCAGGAATGGCTGTCACTACATTTTGATCTCCTTCCTCTCTATGTAGCACTGCTCATCTGGTGTCTTAGCCCTGGACATGAGGGAACAGAGCCAGTGAGCCCTTATGGCAGGTGGGAAACTGGTATGGAGGGGGTGGGGTTAGCCACTTCTCCAAGAAACACAGTGTAGGTACCAGGCAAGCTCTAGTCCTCTGGTTTTGCCCACATGGCCCTTCTAGCCCGAGTCTGTTGTCCCGGAGGGAGATTGTGACGCAGCCCTGTCTTCCTACCATCCCTCTTGTGCAGGGGAGCTGGCAGGCCTGCGGCAGCAGGTCACAGCCACAGAAGAAAAAGCAGCCTTGGACAAGGAGCTGATGACCCAGAAGCTGGCGCAGGCTGAGCGAGAGGCGCAGGCCTCTCTGCGGGAGCAGCGGGCAGCCCACGAGGAAGACCTCGAGAGACTCCGGCGTGAGAAGGTTTGGTCAGCTGGGGAGGAGTAGGCAGGACTCTGAGCCTTGCTGTCTCTGCTCTGGGGAGGCAGCTCTCTTGCTTTGCCTCAGTTTCTACATCTGTGAAACAGGACTTCATGTCTGCCATAGGGGCCCTGGGGACAGCTGGGAAGATCTGTGGGAGTGAGTTGTTCTTATCAGATGCGTAGAGTTCCAGGGGCCAGGTTAGGTCTAATCCTAGTGAACCCGATGGAGACCCACAGCCATACCGGAGCAAGGCCAGCATAGCATAGTGAAGAGCTGGCTGAGTGTGGTGGCGCTCGTATTTAACCCTGTCACTCGGAAGACAGAGGCAGGAAGGTCTCTGAGAGTTTGAGACCAGCCTGGTCTACATTAGTTCCAGAACAGCCAGGGCTATATGGTGAGACCTTGTCTCAAAACAAACAGTAAAAAGCTACATTCATTTGCTAAGGTTCAAGAATGACAAGGCTGGGCCTGCCAAGGAAGTCACTTGAACACTTATTCTGTGCTTACATTTCCTGAGTTTATGTCTGATCTTAGTCTCCTTCCACTGATGCTATATAAGGTTTTTCTTCATTTTTCTGGAAATGGGATAGATTGCTATAAGGTCTTGTGTGTTAGCATAGCCACCAGCACTTAGTACATTTCCTCTCAGTTCCTGTTTTTTGTGGTGCTCTCCAGAATGGTCCACAGGACAGGGGCCTCTAGAAATCCAGCCTGGTCAGGGCTGCCTGCAAGAGGGTCATGTTCTCTCTGCAGGACCCCTATAAAGTGGTATGAGATGCCCTTATGTCTCCATGAATTAAGGTGGAACTTACCGTATATGGCCAGTAGGTGGCAGGGTATACCTGAAGAAGAGCCTCACCCACCACCCTTCAGAAAGTTCTAGGGGACAGGCAGTGCCTCACCTTGAGAAAGTAGTCCTTCATCATGGGCTGTCCCATGTTCCCAGGGAGCCACGCTCTGATCCCTGGCCCTCTCTGTGTTGCCGTCATCGGTGCTCCCAAGTCTGTGGTCTCTCCAGCTTCTCTGCCAGTCTGCTCCATCCTCCCCAGGGAGCGCTCTTGTCCCCAGCCCAGGCTGCTGTGCCTCCTTGCTGCATTCACAGACCTGATGTGACCTGTGACCTGGCCACCCATCTTGTATCTTAGCTATGGGGTATTTGGGTTTTTTCCTGACCTGAGGTATGCAAAGGGCTTCCTGGGCCCCTCCTAGTATGTCACACAGCCTGGCTCTGGCCCTCAGGAGACTGCGTGGCGGGAACTGCAGGCAGAGCGGGCCCAGCTGCAGGGCCAGCTGCAGCAGGAGCGAGAGGAGCTGCTGGCACGGATGGAGGCTGAGAAGGAGGAGCTGAGTGAGGAGATCGCTGCACTGCAGCAGGAGCGGGATGAAGGCCTGCTCCTGGCCGAGAGCGAGAAGCAGCAGGTCTGTGAGTCTGGTAGCTGTGGCTCCTGACTGCCCAGAAGTCCCCACCCAGCAGCGGGAGCCCAGGAAGCAGCCAGTTTCCTCCTGGGCCTCAGTTTTCTCTCCTGCGGAGTAGGGGAGTTGGAGGGTTAGCACACGGGCAGTGACAGGTGACACCGGAAAGCTGTCTTACATTCTTCTGTCTCCGCTTGCCTCACGCTGGATGCCTCTGGGCTGTGGCCACAGGAGCTTGCTGAACCTTCCTAATAGTTCATTCTTGATTTCTGTCAGGTAACGGAGCAGGGTAGACTGCAGCCGTCTCCTGCTGTGTCTCCCTGAGTCAGTGCTTTATCTTCGGTAACATGGGGATCATGAAAGTCTTTGCCCTGGGATAGTTGAGGCATTAGTTAAAAGTCTGTAGATCACGTCCACATCTAGGCTCCTGCTGTTGCTCCTGCAGCCTCTCACAGGTCTACAGGGAGTGAGCAGATACCTCCGACCAGGGTCCACCCATGGTGGGCCATTGCTGCTACTGAGCACCAGTGGAGGCTAAGAGAAGGAAGTAGCCACCCACTAAGCCCTGTCTTCCTTGACTCTGCCTAGGCCTTGTCCCTGAAGGAGTCTGAGAAGACAGCGTTGTCCGAGAAGTTGATGGGAACCCGGCACAGTCTGGCCGCCATCTCTCTGGAGATGGAACGGCAGAAGCGAGATGCCCGGAGCCGGCAGGAACAGGACCGGGTAGGTAGGCAGCCAGGCCTTTATCCAGGGGGAAGACAGCTTGCCTAGAGGGCTTGTCTATGGAAAGCCCTGGTCTTGCTTTAGAAATGCCTCCAGGTTGTGGGTAAGGTCCAACCCTTCAGGATCCCAAACTGAGGGAGGAGGCCATTAGCTCAGCCCTGACGAGAACACTAGTGTGGAGAGGCGAGCTTCAAGGACAACACCCCACCCCCCACTGAAGAATGGTCAAGGAGTGGTGGGAGGGGCTGTGTTTCCGCCAGAGGGGTAGGACAGTGCAGTGGGCTGGTGTTGGGAACACGTCAGGACTAAGTGTGAGGGCTCTGACTACCTCAGAACACAGTGAACGCCTTGACATCTGAGCTTCGAGACCTCCGGGCCCAGCTGGAGGAGGCCACCGCGGCCCATGCCCAGCAGGTGAAAGAACTCCAGGAGCAGACTGGGGACCTGGGCAGGCAGCGGGAGTCCTGTGTGCGTGAGGTGAGCTGACACTGTTCTGTCCCGGCAGCTTGTGGCGTGCTGGGGCCCATCCTCTTTTCCTTGCTCCTCCCACCTCAGATTAATGGGGCAGTGTTGGGACCTTGGTATCCCCTAGCCAGGGAGGGAGTGGCATACAAGCCTGAGGGGCCCTGACCCCATCCTGGACCCACAGGCAGAAGAGCTGAGGACTCAGCTGCGCCTGTTGGAGGACACCCGTGATGGGCTTCGGAGGGAGCTGCTGGAGGCTCAGCGCAAGGCTCGGGACAGCCAGGAGGACTGTGAGGCCCATCGCCAGGAGGCCAGCGAGCTGCGGCGCAGTCTGAGTGAGGGCACCAAGGAGCGTGAGGCCCTGCGGCGTTCCAACGAGGAGCTGAGGGCTGCGGTGAAGAAGGCCGAGAGTGAGCGCATCAGGTGAGAGCTGCAGAGGACCGCCCCGCCCACCACGCCCCGTCCACCACGCCCCGCCCCCTAGCAGTCAAGAGCCTAACTGAACCATAAGGATGATGAGCTTTGGTCTATAAGCACAGCTTAGCAGGAAGGTCAGTTTGATGACTTGGCTGCCATAGAAAATGGACAGGTGACAGCAGAGAAGGTTGGGTCACATCCAGGCCTCTCCTGTGTCAATAACCTTGGAAACTAAGCCCCTTCCTGGAGTCATTCATGTGCCTCTCTCTGCCAAGGACTTTCTCCTAGCCGTGCTGGGTCAGTGCAAAGGCAGCCATGTGGGCAGACAGCATTTAGGCTACCTTAGAGCAAGATGGGGCCAGGCCCACTAGGAGCCAGGGAGAGCCTTGTGCACCGAGATGCAGATGACTGTCCCAGGACTTAGCCTCTGCCTTCCATTTCCCTAGCCTGAAGCTTGCCAGTGAAGACAAGGAGCAGAAGCTAGCTCTCCTGGAGGAGGCTCGAGCGGCCGTCGCCAAGGAGGCTGGAGAGCTGCGGGCCTCGCTGCAGGAGGTGGAACGGTCCAGGCTGGAGGCTCGCCGTGAGCTGCAGGAGCTTAGGCGACAGGTGCGGCCCTGGCTTCTGCCCCTCTGCATGCTCTGCATCTCTCTCAGAGCTAGTTCCACTGTGTGTAAAATCAAGGCCTGAGCTGCGGCAAGCCTGTCGCCCGACCTTAATTCATGGATTGGGTTTGGTGAGAGACTTTTTCTGGGGAGACCAAGTACCCCCCACATACCAACACCCCTACTCACTCCAAAAGGGAACCCACAAAAGACCAAATTAATGGTTGCACCAAAAGTCCAACTTGATGAACCAGTGAGTTTTTATAGTAATTGCAGGAGTGTGGGCGAGGGGTCACTTACAGGAGCAGGGAGGACTCAAAATTGGCCACATCACATAAACACCCACCCTGACAGGACAGCTATTCCCAAAGGCCGCAGCTTGGGAGCTCTCTGTGAAGCTTCAGGCAGCTGGACAGGGAGTCCCCTCCCCCATTGGCTGTTTACTCATCTGTAAGGCTGGGGAAGGGCTTTGGAGAATTTTCCAGATTTCCATTCCCTCTTGAAAGGCTGTGTTTACCTCCCAGATCTCAGGAGCCTCCCCTCCCTCCTGGAGAGTGTAAGTTCAGAAAAACTGCTGTAGAGTCGATGGACTCTCAGGGGCCCTCTACCTGTGAACTATGTAGACACTGTGTGTCCTGTGTCACATTGAGACTCAGGTGTCCCCACAGGGAGGCCCAGCATCTTGTCACATTTGAAAGGAACCTGAGCAATAAGGTAGTAACTCATAGGAACCAGGTCAGCCTAGCAAACTACTGAAGTGAGAGCTGCGAACTTCTACTTTGACAGGCCATAAGGCTCTTCTCCACCCCTCCCCCACCTTACTGTGGTAAGAAAGCAACTATAACCTGGGCTGGTGACAGGCCTGTAATTTCAGCTACTGAGGAGACTGAGGCCAGAGGGTCACAGGTTCAAGGCCTGCCTGGGCTGCAAAGCCTGTTCAAGAACAGTCTTGACTTACTGAAGACCTAAATAGCAAGGCTGTAAGTCACTAACTCACTGCCCAGTACTGCCAGGAGATAAAATTAGGTACTGGAGAAGGCTCAGCAGTCAAGACTACTGACTGTTCTTCCAGAAGACCTGGGTTCGATTCCTGTCACCTATATGGCAACTCCTAACTGTCTGAAACTCTAGTCCCAGGGCGGCCAGTGCCCTCTTCTGGCCTCCCCAGGCCTATGGGATGCACAGACAGACATACAGGACAAAGCACTCATATACGTAAAAATAAATGACAGGATTCCTTTGTGTAACAGCCTTGGCTGTCCTGAACAGCCAGGCTAGCCTCAAATTCACAGATCTGCCTGTCTCTGTCTCCCAAGTGTTGGGTGCACCACCATGCCTTTAAATTTTTTTTTTGGTTTTTACGAGACAGGGTTTCTCTGTATTGTTTTGGAGGCTGTCGGTCGGTCCAGCCCGGCCTCGAACTCACAGAGATCCGCCTGCCTCTGCCTCCCGAGTGCTGGGATTAAAGGCATGCGCCACCACCGCCTGGCTTAAATGTTTTTTTTTTGTTTGTTTGTTTTTTGTTTTGGTTTTTCGAGACAAAGTTTCTCTATGGCTTTGGAGGCTGTCCTGGAACTCACTCTTGTAGACCAGGCTGGCCTCGAACTCACAGAGATCCGCCTGCCTCTGCCTCCCAAGTGCTGGGATTAAAGGCGGCTTAAATGTTTTTAAAAAGGAAAATATCCCCAGCACTCAGGAGGCAGAGGTAGGCAGATGTCTGTGAGTTCAAAGCCAGCCTGGTTTACAGAGCGAGTGCATAGGCTCCAAAGCTACACAGAGAAACTCTGTCTCAAAAAAAACAAAAAACAAAAAGGAAAATATCCATAAGAGGTTGGGGGTGTGTAGCTCAGTGACAGGGTGCTTGCCCAACATGCCCAAAGCTTGTGTCTGATCTCCAGCGCACGCACACACACACACATATACGCGTGCACACGCGCGCACACACACACACCCCTCTGCATGAAATATGAACACATGGGGGTGTGCTCCAGCCAACCTTCATGAACACAGATTTGAACTTCATGTAACTATCTTGTGTTAGGAAATACTGTTTCTCTTTGTGGTTTTGTTTTCCTTGTGTTTTGGTTTTAAGCCATTTTCTGCCGTTTGAAAATAGAAGAGTTGCCCTTGCCTTAGTAGAAACAGGAAATGGCTGAACTTGCCTGCAGACTGTAGGGTGCTGACCTCTGGCTGGATCACAACCCCATCACCAGCACTGATCAAACACCTGCTCTGTGCTGGGCACTGCACACACTCTGCAGGGCTCAGGCTTTCCCACTCTAAAGGAACAGGAAACAGCCTGTGGCCGCAGTAGAGACGCCATGTGATAGCCAGAGACTGACGCTCCAAGATGGGTGGCATCCCTGAAACTAATGTCCTCTCACCAGGCCCCTCGTGTCATGTGCTAGGCTCTGCTGGGAAAGTGCTGAAGCCTGGTCAGTCGGTCCTGCTGCTATAGCCCTGTAGGGTGGGTGGCCCTGGCCCCACCTGCTCCTAGGAGGAAACAGGCTTAGAATGTTACTCTATTCCAGTCTGCTGCTTATGGGCTGTGTAATAGGTTAGCCATTCCACGTTCTGGCCTGTTTTCTCATCCATTAAGTCAGGGTTAAACGTACAGGGATGCAGGAAGGTTAATTCAGTTGATATAAGTGCTTCTAACAGTTGGGCACACAGGATGCACTCTGTGTGCTGTGGTTCCCAACTAAGGTTGGTTGGATGTCAACTCAGCCTCTTCCCTGCTGTCCCTCCCCCACACCCTCTCATTCAGTGGCATATAAACCATTGGGGCCAGGTGCTTGGCATGACCTGAGTTCAGTGAGTTCATCAGGGCAGGTTCCCCATGATCTTGGAGTGCTAAGTTGATGCCTGCATCCTAGGTCAGGCCATCCTGAGAGCCTCCGCGCCAGGACTGGGCAGCACTGTAGGGCCCAGCTGACTTCTCTGCCTGCTCTGGTTCACAGATGAAGATGCTGGACAGTGACAATGTCAGGCTGGGCCGGGAGCTGGCAGACCTGCAGGGCCGCTTGGCCCTGGGCGAGCGGGCAGAAAAGGACAGCCGGCGAGAGGCGCTGGGCCTGCGGCAGAAGTTGCTGAAAGGCGAGAGCAGCCTGGAGGCCTTGAAGCAGGAGGTAACTGGGTGGGCTGGGCTGGCCAGAGGAGGGTGGGCTGCTGTATGCCTGCATCTTCCCGTCAGAGCAGAGTGCTGAGCCCACTACCTCTGGGACTCTCCCTCAGTTGTATGAATACTAACAAGCAAAAGAAACTGCGGACCTATGTGCAGATACCAAAAGTCATGGAGAGGCTCTCAAGATAACCATGTTTGATTTTCCCACAGCCTGCCTATGTGGTCGGTAATATAAGCCTCATTTTACTAGCAGAACCAGGTGGGCTCAGAAAGGTCAAGACACCTGCCCAGTGTCACATAGCCACCAAGTCTACTGTGTGGCTTAGACACTCTTTGTGCCTCAGAATGCTTACCTATAGCAGAGAAGATAAGATGCGGTTGGGGGTGGCTGTGCAGGGCCTGGTGTCAGTGAGGGGGAGCTGTTTAGGGCCTGGTGTCTGTGAGGAGGGGGTCTGTGCAGGGTCTGGTGTCTGTGAGGAGGGGGTCTGTGCAGGTCCTGGTGTCTGTGGGGGTCTGTGCAGGGCCTGGTGTCTTTGAGAGGAGGGGCTTTCCTGTGGAACTGGTGACTGAGAGGTGACCCCTTCTCTTCACCAGAAGGCAGTTTTCTGTGAGTTGGAAGTCTGTGGATGGCCTTGGACAAATCACTTAGCTCCTCTGTGCCCATCTGTTGTTTCATCATTGAGGAAAGAGCTGTGACTTAGAGTGGTTCTGGGTTCTTTGGGAACACACTGCCTGGTACTACTGTCATTACCAACTGCACATCCCACATAAACGGCAGGGACAAATAAGCAAATTCAAATATGCCCCCCCCCACACGTGTGTTCTTTCCCCTCCTTCTAGAGTGGTGGGCACCAGGTGGGAATGGGGGGCGGCCTTGTGACATCTCCTGGCTTCACCTCTGCCCCAGCTCCAGGGATCCCAGAGGAAGCTGCAGGAGCAAGAGGCTGAGTTCCGGTCTCGCGAGCGAGGCCTACTGGGCTCCCTGGAGGAGGCCCGCGGCACCGAGAAGAAGCAGCTGGAGGTGGCCCGGGGCCTGGAGCTGAGGCTGGAGGCGGTGCGGGCCGAGACCTTGGAGCTGGGGCTGCGGCTGAGTGCGGCCGAGGGCCGGGCACAGGGCTTAGAGGCGGAACTGGCCCGCGTGGAGGCGCAGCGGCGGGTGGCCGAGGCCCAGTTGGGTGGCCTGCGCTCTGCCCTGCGTCGGGGCCTGGGTGTGGGCCGAGTGTCCGGCTCCCCAGCACGGGTGTCCAGCTCCCCAGCGAGGGAGGCCCCCGCGGGAGGTGAGTGCAGCCCAAGGTTGTGGAGGGCTCTCTGAAGCCACACCCCTGGGAGAGCCAAGCCCATTGGCTGTCCTGGGCTCCTGGGTAGCTTTGTTACAAAGGGATTCTTATGGTCCCTTTGCCCTTTCTGAATCTTTGAAGCCCATCTTTTTTGTTTTATTTTATGTGTTTGTGAGAGTATCTGCATATATGCCTATGCATCACAAGCATGCCTGATCCTGGAAGAGACCAGAAGAAGGCATTAGATCCCCTGAAGTTGGAGCTATAGATGGTTGTGATCTGCCATGTGGGTGTGGGGAATCAAACCCAGGTCCTCTGCAGGAGTAGCTGCTGCTCTTAACTACTGAGCCACCACTGCCACCACCTCCTCCTCCTTCTCCTTCTCTTCCTTCCCCCTCCCCCCTCTTCCCCCTTCCCATTTCTCTTTCCTCACCCCTTCCTCTTTTCCCTCTTTTCCCTCTCCTTCCTCCTTCTCCTCCTCCTTCCTTTGTTTTTGTTTGTTTGTTTTTGAGATAGGGTTTCTCTGTGTAACAGCTCTGGCTGTTCTGGAACTTGCTCTGTAGGCCAGGCTGGCCTTGAACTCACAGAGATCCACCTGCCTCTGCCTCCTGAGTGCTGGGATTAAAGGCGTGCGTCACCACCACCAGGCAAGTCTCATCTTCTTAGTAAGTCTCCAGCCTGACCTCTCAGCTCCACATCCCTCCACACCAGGCCCGGGATCCTGAAATGTTCCTCTTGGTAGGCACAGCAAGCCTGACCTTCCAGGGTAGCACTGATCCAGTCACATACGGTAGTTTCGACCAAGAACCTAGTGTGCCAGCACACACTGGAATAGAGCAGGAAGTGGGTCGGTAAGCGGGGCTCTTAGGAAGCTTAGAGTCTGCCGTGGGAAGAACTGTATGAAGGGAGTAGAGGGTATCTTGGCCTGTGGTTTGGGGACAGTAGGCAAGCAGAAATAAAGGGAGGGAGAGTCTGCTGGTCGGTGCAGCTGCTGTGGGAAATAGCTTGACAGTTCTTCAGAAAATGAAAATGTTAATGACAGGAGATCCAGTATTCCTACTGCTCAGTATACAGCTAAGAGAACTGAACACAGGCATGTAATAGGCACTTCTATAACAAAGTCTATTGCAGCGTGTTCACAATAGCCAAATGGCAGTGAATCCCAAAACACCCATCAACATGACTAGGTAAGCAAAAATGTGGTATATCCATCCTGTGGAATGGTATTCAGCCGTTAGAAGGAATGACATGCTTCCATGTGCCAAAAGGCAGGTCAGTCCTGAAACATTGCACTCATATGAGACAGTCATCGGAAGACAAGCATCAATGCATTCCAACACAGACACGTCCATAGACTCAGCAAGCAGGTCCAAGGTTACCTAGATCTAGGCAGGAGACAGTGAGAGCTACTTCAAAATAAGTTTCTGTTTATCTTACCTGGTCAGAAGACTCTATGAAGGAACCGTGACACTTCAGTAGCCGTAGATTTTCAGACTCCCTGTCTCCCCAAATCCAAGGATGCCTGTGCTGCTCTGGGAAATTGCAGTGCTTGTGTAACCTGTACACACCTAGAGAGCATCAGCGTCTGGAGCACCACGCTAGCTAACGCACATACAAATCATGTGAACTGTTCTCCTTGGAGAATCCCGACAGGAAGTCTGCATGCATCCAGCACAGGCTCAGGGGTCACACTGCTTTGCCTCAGTTTTTTAGACAGGGTCTTACTTTAGACTGTCCTGGAACTTACTGTGCAACCTAAGCTAGCCTTGTACATTTCAACTAATACATATTTTGCCAAAAACAAAAAAGCAGAACGTAAATGCAAAGGAGGGAGGGCTGAGAATGGGGACCAGTGTGTCACAGGGGTATGGGAAAGCAGGGAGGGAAAGCATGTTGTAGAGGACCTGAATTTTGTTCCCAGCACTCACATGGATGCTCACAACTGCCCTTAACTCCAGTCCAGGGGGTCTGATGCCTTCTTCTGGCTCCAGAGGCACAGGCACACACACATATGTGCAGGTAAAACACCTATCCATAAAATAAAAATGAGCCAGGTGTGGTGGCACACGCCTTTAATCCCAGCAATGGGAAGGCAGATCTATGAGTTTTAGATCAGCTTGGTCTACATAGTGAATTCTAGAACAGCCAGAACTATATAATAGAGAGACCCTATCTCAAAATAAATAAATAAAATCCAGTTGTGGTGGTACATGCCTTTAATTCCAGCACTTGGGAGGCAGAGACAGGTGGATCTCTGTGGGTTTGAGACCAGCCTGGTCTACAGAGTGAGTTCCAGGATATCTGAGGTTATACAGAGAAACCCTGTCTTGAAAAATCAAAATAAATAGATAAATGAAATGAAAAGAACTTCTTTATTTTTAAAAAATAAAGAAGTTGGGCTTGATTGAGGAACGTGGGTAGATTTGGCAAAGGATTTTAAATGGGAAGGTAACCTGGTTCACTGTGTGCTAATGGGTACTGTAATATGGTACCTTGAGAGCCTACATCCAGCACCCAGTAGCTGCCATGTCCCTGACTGAATCTTCCCTTCCAGGAAGTGGGGATGGTCTTAGCAGCCCCAGTCCTTTGGAATTCAGCCCTCAGTCCCAGCCACCATCTCCAGGACCCGTTGCCTCCCCAGCACCTCCAGACTTGGAGCCAGAGGTGGTGCGAGATGCCCTCCGAGACTTTCTGCAAGAGCTTCAGAGTACCCAGCGGGAGCGGGTGAGGCTGGTGGTGATGGCTGGGAGGGGAACCTGGGGCAAGCCCAGGAGCAAAGGAGCTGTGGTGGTCAGAGCAGGGTCTCCCCCTTCCTCTGTTGGGGCTACAGGATGAACTCAAGGTCCAGACCAGCACCCTTAGTCAACAGCTGGCTGAGATGGAAGCAGAGAGAGACCGTGCAACCTCAAGGGCTAGGCAGCTGCAGAAGGCGGTAGCTGAGAGCGAGGAAGGTGAGTCTTCCCTCAGGGCCCCTCTGCCCTCTATGCACCTAGCAGCTGAGTGGGATGAGCTGGTGTCAGTGGCTCTTAGGTCCAGTCCGAGCCTACCTGACTCAGGGCTGGTTCCTTCCCGGGGCAACCCCAAGGGACCCAAATCTACAAAACCTCTGTGGCCCAGGCAGGGCTTGGAGAGGGTAGGGTACAGGTCAGGTCTTTGGCTTGGCTCAGGGGCTGGGTTTGCTGTGAGACTGATGGGACTGGGTGGTGGCCACAGCCTGGCGCAGTGCCGACAGGCGGCTGAGCGGGGCCCAGGCCGAGCTGGCACTGCAGGAAGAGAGTGTGCGGCGTAGCAAGCGGGAGTGCAGGGCCACGCTGGACCAGATGGCAGCACTGGAGAGGAGCCTGCAGGCCACCGAGAACGAGCTCCGGGCCAGCCAGGTGGGCAGGAGTGGAGGGCCCAGGGTAGCAGGTCCCAGGGTTCTCTGCAGTCCTCTGACCGAGTCATAGCCCAGAGGGATGGCCTGTGGATCTTAACACTGAGCAAACTTTAGTTCACTATTAAGTGTTCATGTGCTTCAGGGAGAAAGGTTTGGGCCTGAGTCAGACAGAGGGGTTCAGATGTGGCCTGGAACAGCCTGCTGTCCAACTGTCACCCTTTGGGTGGGGTGTTACCTGTAATTGCTACACAGAGGCAGTACCCATGAGCTTTTGGCTGGAGCCTCTATCTCTAAATATCCGCATGAATGGCAGTACAGTGTTTGATGTGTGGGTTTCTACATGCCTATGTGTCTGGACAGGAAGTCCTGGCCTTGAGTGATGACAGTCTAGCCTCTCAGCCGAAGCCCCCTGCCCTCTCCAGCTGCCCCACCTCCCCACCTCTGGCTGAGACCAAGCTGGAGCTGGGTTGTGGTGTCTGCACCTTCAGCTTTGGCTTTGAGCCCAGCAGCCCCTGGGGCCTGGGAGGAGGCCAGGAACAAAGCTGGGTGGGAGCCAGAGTGGGGGCCCTCTTTCCTACAGGCCAGACAGGCCAGAGAGGGGCTCGAACAAGCACGAAACAGGGAGGCTCTAGTGACACCCAGGACGCACTGACTCTGGGGTACCCATGTGGATTGAATGGCCCCAAGTTCTTCCTGCCCTGTGTCCGCTCTGCAAACCCCTTCATTGTCTGAGTCCTGAGCAGGCGAGGGAGAATCAGCCATTAGAACTGTGAGCGATGCCCTGCTCCTCAGCAGCAGCCGCCAGGTTCAGCTCGGGTTTCATTTGTGCTTCCTGCCACTTCTGAAAGCCCTTTTGTAGAGCAGGGAGGGGTCTAGTGTCTGCATTCTGCAGCCCCCTCCCTGGGGATCTCATGAGTCCCCAGGCAGTGGCACCTCTGGACCAGTCCTCCTGGTACAGACATGAAACAGGCAGAGTGGGGAAAGTGCCCCCTGGCTCACAGACCTCGTTACACTCTGGGACCCTCCCATCTGCTCAGTCAGTAACAAATGGGGAAACCGAGGCCCTAGTAGGCACAGGCTGGTTCCAGGTCACACAGTCCTCGAGGCTGACCCTGCTTTGTCCCAGTGGTGCAGAGGGGTGTGAGGAGGGTGGGCAGGCATTGGGGTTGAGCCTTGCTACCAACAGGAGAAAGTCAGCAAGATGAAGGCCACCGAGGCGAAGCTGGAGAGCGACAAGCGGCGGCTGAAGGAGGTGCTGGATGCCTCAGAGAGCCGCTCCGTCAAGCTTGAGCTGCAGCGGCGTGCCCTTGAAGGCGAGCTGCAACGCAGCCGCCTGGGTCTGGGGGACCGTGAGGCCCACGCTCAGGCCCTCCAGGATCGGGTGGACTCCCTACAAAGACAGGTGGGGCCCTCTCCCTCCTGGTCACACCTGCATGTCCTGTGCCAACCTCTGTCCAGGCATTGTGCAGCTGCCCGGTCTTCACCATCAGGTTTCAAAGATGGACAGGTGGAGACCCAGAGTGGCAGTGTCCTCGCCTGTCACATAGCTAGCTTGATGGGGCTCTGCACAGGGCGGTTAACCCACAGTGGGCTGAGCCAGTGAGAGGATGAGCCCATGGGGATACTGATGAGGCCCGGGGAGAGGTGGGAGGAGCCTGGGTTAGCACTCCTGGTGGGGATCACAATGGGAAGGGAGCCCTTGACCATCCTGTCTCCCTGCCAGGTGGCAGACAGTGAGGTGAAGGCAGGGACCTTGCAGCTAACAGTGGAACGGCTGAATGGGGCACTGGCCAAGGTGGAGGAGAGCGAGGGGGCCCTGCGGAGCAAGGTGCAGAGCCTGACTGACGCCCTGGCCCAGAGCAGCGCCAGCCTCACCAGCACCCAGGACAAGAATCTGCACCTGCAGAGGACCCTGAGCACCTGTGAACATGACCGCCAAGTGCTCCAGGTCTGGGGAGGGGCTCCAGGATCCATTAGGAAAGTTCAGTGAGAGAGTCAGCCAATAAGAGCAGGTGTGGAGGGAGCTGATAGCCACGGGGCTGTCAGGAAATCTGGGGAGCCAATGAGAATATGCCTTGAGGCAGTAGAAGCAGCCAATCATGAGGCTGAGGGGAGGGTGCTGCCCAGTGAGAGTAGCAACCTGTTAGTTTGGGACCTAGGTGCAGTTTAGGATATGAGTGATTGTCACCATCAGAACCTCTCAGTGGACAGGACTGGCAACAGGCCAGAGCAGTTAGGCATTTCACCCAGAGGGAAGCCTTTTGCTTAGGCTGGCAGTCTGGCTTGGCACCATCAGCCTCTGTCCCCCAGGAACGGTTGGATGCTGCCAGACAGGCATTGTCCGAAGCACGGAGGCAAAGCAGCTCCCTGGGTGAGCAGGTGCAGACTCTGCGGGGCGAGCTGGCCAGTGTGGAGCTGCAGCGGGGCGATGCTGAAGGCCAGCTACAGCAGCTGCAGCAGGTGAGGCCGGAGGGCCTCTGTGGGGTGCCCTGTGGTCCTGGAGGGCCTCTGTCTGTGGGGTGCCCTGTGGTCCTGGAGGGCCTCTGTCTGTGGGGTGCCCTGTGGTCCTGGAGGGCCTCTGTCTGTGGGGTGCCCTGTGGTCCTGGAGGGCCTCTGTCTGTGGGGTGCCCTGTGGTCCTGGAGGGCCTCTGTCTGTGGGGTGCCCTGTGGTCCTGGAGGGCCTCTGTCTGTGGGGTGCCCTGTGGTCCTGGGCATGGGGTGGGGAACCCATCTCAACTTCAGCCTAAACCTTGACCCCGCCACCTGGATCATAGAACCATGGTTCATCTGACCCACACTCCGCTATACCCCAGAGAGAACCATTTGGCCTCAGCTGTTTCCTCCCGTGGGCCTGTGGTTCCTACTATGTGAGTGGGCACAGTGGGCCAGCATCTTTGTCCCCAGGTTTCAGATGGCATCCTGAGGTGCAGTGGGCTGAGGGACTGCTGGCTTGTGCTGCAGGTACTGCGACAGCGGCAGGAAGGCGAGGCCATGGCTCTGCGCTCTGTCCAGAAGCTGCAGGAAGAGCGGCGGCTGTTGCAGGAGCGCCTGGGCAGTCTGCAGCGAGCCCTGGCTCAGCTAGAAGCTGAGAAACGTGAGGTGGAACGGTCAGCGCTGAGGCTGGACAAGGACCGCGTGGCACTCAGGAGGACCCTGGACAAGGTGGCCTGCTATGCTGGGGCCTCCCCAGCTTTCCTGTGTCTCTCTCTTCAGTGTGCTGCTGCTGCTGCCAGGTGATCCTACAGGGGCTCCTGCGAGCCCCCTGCGAGCCCCCTTCCCTCCGTATCTACCCAGGTGGAGCGGGAGAAACTCCGAAGCCACGAGGACACCCTGAGGTTGAATGCCGAGAAGGGCCGCCTGGACCGCACACTCACAGGGGCTGAGCTGGACCTGGCTGAGGCCCAACAGCAGATCCAGCAGTTGGAGGTCAGCCCTGGCCCTCCCCCAGCCTGGTCCCCAGTGCCATTCCCATACTGAGCCCAAGAAGCCCTGGGGGTACCTATGGCTGAGCTAGCATGGAAGCCCAGAGCCTTTGGGAAGGTGTCCTCATTGGGCTGTAGGGCGGGGTTCTCCCCATGGTGGAAACACTGAGGCTCATTGGAGCTCAAGCCTGTGGTTCCTGTGTGCTGTGGATGTATGGAACCCTGAATGTCTGTGGGAGCTTGCTCATGGGTACAGCATGAACCTCACGTTGTACTCATGTAGCCTGTGACCTAAGTACATGTAAATGTCTTCCCACATGAAGATGTTAGTCTAGCCTTTGTGCCTGTGTGCTGCCGTACAAATATGCTCGCTTTTGTTCCTACGTGTGTGTAGGCCAGGCCCTGTGTTTGAATAGTTTTGTATGTGCATGCCTGTCTGAGTGGGCTTCACTGGGGCCCTGGCCCAGGATTGGAAGGCACACTGTTAGGGCCAGTGAGATAAGGGAGAAGCCCACCCCACTGTGTGCACATAAGGTTAGAACCCTGATTGGCAGCCCCTATCTGTAGGCACAGGTGGTAGCCCTGGAGCAGAACCACAGTCCGGTCCAGCTGGAGGCAGATGAGCAGCACCTGGAGCTACAGCAGGAGGTTGAGCGCCTGCGAAGTGCCCAGGTGCAGACGGAGCGCACGCTGGAGGCACGGGAGCGGGCCCACCGCCAGCGAGTGTCGGGACTGGAGGAGCAGGTACAACCCCCCCCTTCCGGGAGAAGATGGAGCTGGAATGGAAGTGTGGGGCTGGAGGAGAGGACTGGTCATGACCTCTATAACTTGAAAAGGGCCAAGTAGGTCAGCGCTGGTATCAGCCATGGCTGGAGTGATACTGCCTGGCCTCAGTATCTCCTGGCCCAGGGCTCACCCTCTGCCCCAAGCCATCAGACTCTCTCCCTTAGTACCTCAGGCTATAGGCTCTCCTAGTAACCTGGGATCCCAGTGGAGAAGGGGCTCTATGCCAGGAATACTAGTAAGAGCCCAAGAAATGGCTCTTCTTGGCCAGTGACGTCACTTATGTCCCTTCTGGCTGTGCCTAGAGCAGGCTTAGGTGCTTGGACAGGCCCAGCCTGGTATTACAAACACTTCTGCTAGAGTCAGGCCCAGCCGGGTCTCCCGTGCCTCTCTCTGGCTCTCCCTCCTTGGGACAGGGTCCCCCTCTGGGTAGTGCCAGGGCTCACAGACAGTAACCGGGCAGGGCTGGGAGGACACAGGGCCTTGCTCTGTGGAGTGATGCTGGGCAGAGCTGCTTCACATGGTCGAGCCTCTGAAGGAAGGGGTAAGGAAGCCAAAGCATACAGACACCTAACTCCACGAGGGCAAAGTGAGAAGCGGAGGCTGTCCACTCTCAGGCAGCAGCCCTCCTCTGCAGCAGCTGGCATGCCTCCCTCATCGGCTCCTGTCCTCTGAAGGCCTCTGTGGCCCGGGCTGCTGGGCCCTTCTCTTCTCCAGGTGGCCATGCTGAAGGCACAGCTGCAGAAGGAGCTTCGAAGGAGCTCAGCACCCGTCTCCCCTCCCTCTGGTACCCCGGAGCAATGAGTTCCTTCTGGCCAACATCCTGAGCACAGTCATCTTGGCAGGAGATGGGGCCCTTAGAAACATAGGCTGCCACATCAGAGTGTGGTAGGAGGGAGCTGGGGTGACAGATGAGGGTGGCACTGTGGCTTCTCAAAGTTACTACACCACCTATACCACTCCAGGCCCCTCTCCTAGAAGATCCTCTGACGGCCAAGGCTCTTCCTGGCTGAGCCAGCCAGGGGTCAGGGAGAGCGCTTGTTTCCGCCAGCAACAGAGCAGGGCTTTCCCAGGAAGGAATGCCCGGGCCGGAGCAGCACCAGGGAGTTCTCCCTTGACTCTTTGTGTCAGAAGCTCCTTAGTGAGCTTAGAGCCCTTGTATTTTTGTACCTTTTTATACTGTTAACTGTGGAGAACTGTTGTGCTTTTTGGAACATGACCTGTTTTTTAGAATCATCTGCACACACACTTCCTCTACCTGGGGGTTGATGGGCTCGTGGACGCACAGGCTGTGGGTGTCTGGGTGATCACTTAATGCTGTCATTTGAGGACAAGGATTTTACCTGCTATGTCAGGAGGACTAACCAGGACAGTATGAGGAGCACTAACTGTAAGAGCATGGGGAGTACTGCACAGCCCTCCTCCGTGCTGTTCACACAGAACACAAGTGACCTGCCTGTTTCCACATGCACTCGAAGAGTTGCAGCAGGGCCCCTTCCTCTGGTGGATCACAGATGAAGGAAGCTAGGGCTGGAGTAGGTAGAGGTGGGATACAGAAATAGAGCCACCTGGCACCCCCTTCTATGGAGCTGAGTAGCCTTTTGTTGGGGACCAGCAGTATTGGTGGCATTTGAGTTGTCCCTGGCCCCAAAAGTGACTCTGCATCTTTTGTAAAAACTTTATTATTTTGTATAAAAGAAAGGTGGCCCATGCCTGGGGGCATATAATATCCAAGCAGACCAGCTGGGTGAGGGGCACAGCCTACCCGAGGAGACTGAAAGGGGGGGGATGCCCCTAAGGCACTGAGAAGGCACATTGAGAGCCCCAGACCCCCAAAAGAGGACTTGGATGAACCCCATCTAGGGGGTGGAGACTGGACAGTTAGGAGCCCCAACTGCTCAGGGATGGCCACGGGCCGGGGAGGGGCCCAAGGCAGCTGTGGCCTCACTCCTCAGGGCAGCAGCCCCTGACATCAGGGATGAAAGGGAGGGCAGGATGGGGGAAAGCACCGGGTCAGGCGGGGCCTGAGGTGGATCCGAGCTGGGTCCAACTCGGATTCCATACCAGCTCCGCCCTAGCAGCCCCCACAGCTCCTGGCACAGGAGGCAGCCACAGATTGGCACAGACCACTGACGGCCAGCACGCCACACTTGGAGAACTTGTCCCGGCACAGGTCAGCTGTCGGAGGGAGGGGAATCAGGTGAGGAAGGAGGTGGGGGCTTGCAGCAGCCTACAGGCAGCCTGGGCAGAGTCCATGGGAACCCTTGCCGTGGCACATGGGAGGGTAATGAAGTGGGTGGCGGACGCTGCCAGGACACGGGGTGTGGGCTTCCTACCTCGGAGGAGTTCCTCATGGGCACAGACGGTGCGGACACATATTTCCTTGTTGACGACATATACCCGGCGAAGGCTGGGGAGTGAGCCAGAGACACTGAGCCACACCCTCACCTACCCCCATTGGGAGAGCCCAAGTGTCCAGGCCCAGGCCCACCCTCTTCAGGGTCTGTCCCAACTCACACCTTCCCTGGTGGGGGCCGCCCCTGGGGTCCCTCCCTGGTGCCCTCACCTGTAGAAGCAGACCTCATTGAGACACTGCTTGCAAGGCTTGTGGATAGAGTAGAGGCGAGTGCACGGGTACTGTTCCTCACGGCAGTCTAGGGACAGGTGGGGTCAGACTGCAGGCTCAGAGCTCAAGTGGCAGACTCACCCTCAAGCCCTGCTCAAACACACACATAAACCCAGCACCCAGGTAGCATAGGACCTCCCGACTTTATGCCTCACACACATAAATGCAGCACCCAGGTAGCATAGGACCTCCCGACTTTATACCTCACACACATAAATGCAGCACCCAGGTAGCATAGGACCTCCCGACTTTATACCTCACACACATAAATGCAGCACCCAGGTAGCATAGGACCTCCCGACTTTATACCTCACACACATAAATGCAGCACCCAGGTAGCATAGGACCTCCCGACTTTATACCACACACAGAGTCACAACCCATTTGGAAACAAACTGGCATACAAACTCACAGCTACCCCAGTGGTCACTGGGACATCACACTAGCTCACAAGCCGCTCTGTAGCCACTGTGTGACCAACCCAACACAAAGGCGGGGCTTCTCCAGGCCCCTCCTCTCAGGCTCTTGACTGGGTAGCACTCAGCTGGACTGGGCTTGAGGATTCCTCTTCACCTGGCCCGGGCACCCCAAGTCCGGGCTGTGACCCCAGCACAGTGATGGCCCTTCTCTAGTGCAGGTGCCTCAGCTGCCCAGGGACATGTCTGTCAGCACCCCCCCCCCCAGCATCCTATCTATGCTTGACATTGCACATCCTACCAAAGGCCCTCTCTTTCTGAAGCCCTGCCGGTTTTCTCCAGCTTCCAGGAGGTTCTTACCAAGAGGCCCAGGCTCCGTGGGTTCAGTCTCCAGGTCTCCTGGAATGGGCAGTTCTGGTGTGGGAAGACAGCCAGGGGTCACGGGGAGGTATTCAGGGCAAGGGGCACCCGTCTCAAGGCTGACCCAGACCCCTATCCTGAGGCACACAAGGAGCTGGGTCAAGGGAGATAGCATTACCGGGGGTGGGGGCTGGGATGACTTCCTGTGGGACTTGCTGCTGGGACTGGAACTGTTCCTCAGGAGGTCGAGGACTCACTTCTGCGGGGGGGGAGACATTCGGCATTTACAAGGCATTGGCTCACTTTCCCCACAGACACCCACCAGGTTTCTGGCCCCGCCCATCCCACCCCAGACTTTTACCTTGGTAGTCATAGTAGGTGTCTACATTGTCTGAAAGTGAAAAGGGAACACAATGGGTGGGGTCAGGCTAGTCCTTGGTCCCAGGAGAGTGGGGCAAAGAGGTCACAAATGAGCCAGGGACCCACCCCTGGGATTGCTACCACCCCACGGAAATGAGTGCCTGCTGATCCACGTGTATGGGGCGGGCAGCACTGAGGGCACTTTGAGGACTGTCTTACCAATCTGGTCTCCGTAGTGGTTGTACTGGACATGGTCCGGGAATGGGGGAAGAGGGTCCAGGTCATATTGGCCCTGAGCCAGCAGGCCTGCTGAGGGAGGGAGGAGTCAGGCGTGGGCACCCACAGAGGAAGGGCAAAGCAGGTGGTGGTCCTAAGCCAGGGACCTACAACCAGGCTCAGGTTCAACAAATCCAACCTGGGTCCTGGGTCAGTTTCCTGCCCCTGCCCCTGCCCCTCTGCCCTGGGTGGCCTCGAGGCTGCTCCAGGAATTCCCACGCTCCTGCCTGCCTGGGAGCCTTCCCATTCTCCCCAGGGCTTCTGCAGGTCTCAGCTAACATTCCAGCTCTGCCGGGCTATCCCTGACCCACCTTCCCCACTGTGACTCTCTATCGTAGCACTCAACACGATGTGTCTACTTGTCCAGTGCATGCCTCTTCCCTGGCCTGGCCACATGGTGGAGGCCGGGTGTGTCTGCCTAAGGTACAGCTGTGTCTCCGGTGCTTAGCTTACAGCAGGTGCCGGCCTAGACATGCTCAGTGACTCCTAGGATAAGTAACCCCTAGGACCTTTGCAGTCCCCGCTGATGTGATAAGTGCCTCTCAAAGGCCAGGACTGTACAGAGCAGCACCAGAGCCTGCACCCCCCACCCCCCCCCCCCCCCCCCCCCCCCCCCCCCACCCCCCCGCCTTCAGGCTCCTCTACTGTGTGGTAAATGCCGGAAGCAGGGCTAGGAGCTGGGCAGCAGAGTTCTGGCCATGAGCTGAGACACAGCCCCACAGGGAGCCCCCACCCCAGCAGCTGCTTACCAGGCAGGACCAGCAGAAAGAGGCAGGCGGCTCTCATGGCCATGGAGTGAGGAGGCTGTGGTGGCCTTGAGGACAGCTGGAGGGGGAGGAAGGGAGAGCTAGCTGCATGCCAGCCAGGTAGCCCAGGATGGCAGAAAACATTTCTGTCCCTGAGCTCAGTCTGCGAGGGACAGACAGAGCCAGGCATCTGGAGGTGGGGAGGGACATCTGCAGTCCCTGCTTGGGCGAGGGTGAAGGCTTTAAAGCAGGTTCCAGGCTGACTTGGGCTTTTTAAAGACTGGGTCTCATGTAGCCCAGGCTAGCTTCAACTTACTATGCAGTGGAAGATGACTCTTAACACATGGACGGACACTACCTTGTCCTGCTCACTAAGGAGACACCTCTAGCAGCCCCACCCTGACTGTCCCCATCACATCTCTGAGTTTCTGATCTACCGTGTGAATTCCAATGGCCTCAGACACATCCTTTGGGTACCAGCTCTGCCCAACCAACACCACAGGCATCGCTAGCTCAACAGCATTTGCCAGGCCTGCCACCTGCTCCCAATTAGCCCCTGGGCCCTGAGCATGCTGCTCAGCAGGAGAACCACATGCATACAGGCCCCAGGAGCCCCCAGAGCGGCCAGGGCTGGGCAGGACTCCCAGCTCCAAGAAGACGTCTGCCAGCTCCAGGCCTCCCAAGACCTGGCTGTCTTCCTTACAGATGCACGCACACACGAGACGAGACTGAGGCCTGTTTGTCTGCAACACTGGGAAACATGGGGAGGAGCTGGAGCAAGTGAGGGCACCTCTGGCTCCCAGCGTGCTAACTGGTGAGGCAAAGTCACTTGGCCCAGGGATTCAGAACCCTTGACATGACCCTGGATGACAAGAGTGTAGTTTTGGTGAGGGCACTGGTCCAGGTCTTGCACAAAGTTCCTAATACCCAGGAACTCCTGGGTGAGTCCAGCCCTCAGTGCTGGCTACAGAGTCAGCTGGCTCCATGGACAGTGACTTCTAGAAGCTGCCCTCAGGCTCATCCATCTAGAGGGCTGCCTACCCCACCATGGGAAGTTCTTCCACACACCTTGAACCCCAACTCTGATGTAGGACCCCCTGGGGACCTGGGGAAAGGCAGAAACAGGATATCTAACCTCAGTTTCCCCAACCCTGAGGCTTCCTGATGCCTGTCGCAGACATCTCCCTCAAGCCTCCCCACCAGAGGCCCTTGCTAGGTTATATTCTTTCCATAGCGAAGTCTCCTCTTATCTCACTCTTTAAATTCTGGGCAGCCTGTGGTGGGGGGCACCCAGCTCCATACAGACTGACGATTGACCCCTATGCATTAGGAGGCATCGAGTGGCTGCCAATGTGTGACAGAACGTTCCTCCCACACTCGCCCAGGCCCAGGCTTATGGCAGGGAATGGGGCTCATTGGCTAGCCCCGGCATGAAGAAGAGAATAATAAATC